CGCAATTGCTATGCATGCAATGCAGGGGAATCGGGCCTCATCTCGCTTCGAGGGGGAAGTCTCATGGTTGTTCTCGAGTTGCGGCGGGAACCCGGGGTATATACTCGAGGTACGGCGGGGATGGCCCTTCAGAACTCGTGTTTGTTCAGCGACGTCAGGCCTACTGCCTAGATACGAGGGACACCTCAGGAATTTCTTCGAGGCTTGGCAGGGCAAAACTGATGCTTCTCGAGGTGAGGCGGGAGACCCAAGGTCGCTTTCCAGTAGACACAGGGATATTGGGATTCCTATCAATGTTCAATAGTAGTCAGGCTTCGTCACTTTTTGAAGCATTGTACTCTGCCAGCCTCTGAATGTGTCAAATGGATGTGAGGCCTCCTGTCGAGATGAGGCGGGGAACTAGGGCTTTCTCTACGATCCCCACAGAGGATTCAGACATCCCTTCACCTTCTGAGACGAAAGACGATCCTGCATTCAAGCCACTGCAAGAGAATCTTGCCTTTTTTAAAGGCAAGACTTCGCTGTGTATATTATATTTGTGGCAGAAAACTCAGGGTCACTACTAAATACTTATTGCTGAGAGAAGCCTCCTCTTGAAGTGCTTGAGGAAAGTTGGCATACGTCTTGAGTCTGAGCCAGGGAATCAGCTCTCATCTCGTGACGATACAGGGAACACGGTGCATTCCTCGAGTGGCTGTACTGAAGGTGGTATTCTTCTATACTTGGGACGGTGTTCTCAGGGAATCTCTGGACTTGCCTGAATTAAACCAGGAAATTGGTCTTGTTTGAATGGGAACGCAGGATGGCTCTGGAGTCAATGAAGGTTATTGGTCCTCATCTAGATTTGATTTGGTTTACAGGGAACTATTTCGTGTTGCTGGGGTGACCTCAGGGTCCCTCTAGCCTTGTGACAGTTATCTTGGGGACTCTATCGAGATCCATCAAGCAAGTCGAGGCTCCTTACATGTTTGATGGGGATCACACAGTTGTTCTGCATGCAATGCAGGGGAATCCGGCCTCATCTCGGTTCCAGGTGAAAGTCTCATGGTTTTTCTCGAGTTGCGGCGGGAACCTGTGTTATATTCTCGAGTTGCAGCGGGGATGGCCCTTCAAAACTTGTGTTTGTTCAGCAAAGTCAAGACTCCTCTCTAGTTACGAGGGACACCTCACGAATCTCTTTGACGCGAGGCAGGGCAAAACGGACACTTCTCGAGGTGAGGGGGAAGGCCCAGTGTCCCTTTCCCGTAGCCGCAGGGATATTGGGATTCCTATCAATGTTCAATAGAAGTCAGGCTTCGTCACTTTTTGAAGCATTGTACTCTGCCAGCCTCTGAATATGTCAAATGAATGTGAGGCCTCCTGTCGAGATGAGGCGGGGAACTAGGGCTTTCTCTACGATCCCCACAGAGGATTCAGACATCCCTTCACCTTCTGAGACGAAAGACGATCCTGCATTCAAGCCACTGCAAGGGAAACTTGCCTTCTTTCAAAGCAAGACTTCGCTGTGTATATTATACTTGTGGCAGCAAACTCAGGGTCACTCCTAAATACCTATTGCTGAGAGAAGCCTCCCCTTTAGGTGCTGGAGGAAAGTTGGCATACGACTTGAGTCTAAGCCAGGGAATCAGCTCTCATCTCGAGACGATTCAGGGTACACGGTGCATTCCTCGAGTGGCTGTACTGAAGGTGGTATTCTTCTATACTTGGGACGGTGTTCTCAGGGAATCTCTGGACTTGCCTGAATTAAATCAGGAAATTGGTCTTGTTTGAATGGGAACGCAGGATGGCTCTGGAGTCAATGAAGGGGAATTGGTCCTCATCTAGAGTTGATTTGGTGTACAGGGAACTATTTCGTGTTGCTGGGGTGACCGCAGGGTCCCTCTAGCCTTGTGACAGTGATGTGGGGGACTCTCTCGAGATCCACCAAGCAAGTCGAGGCTCCTTACATGTTTGATGGGGATCATACAGTTGTTCTGCAGGTAATGCAAGGGAATCCGGCCTCATCTCGCTTCCAGGGGGAAGTCTCATGGTTTTTCTCGAGTTACGGCGGGAACCTGTGTTATATTCTCGAGTTGCAGCAGGGATGGCCCTTCAAAACTTCTGTTTGTTCAGCAAACTCAGGACTCCTGTTTAGTTACGACGGACACCTCAGGATTATCTTTGACGCGAGGCAGGGCAAAACGGACACTTCTCGAGGTGAGGGGGGAGGCCCAGGGTCCCTTTCCAGTAGCCGCAGGGATATTGGGATTCCTATCAATGTTCAACAGGAGTTAGGCATCCCCATTCTTTATCGGATTGAACTCCGGGTGCCTCTCGATGTGTCAAAAGGACATGAGGCCTCCTTTCGAGATGAGAAGGTTACCAAGGCTTTCCCTATGTCCTCCACAGGAGATTGAGACATCGATTCACCTTTTGAGATGAAAGATGAGCCTGTATTCAATCTACTGCTAGCAAACCCGTCCTTCTTTCGTGTCAGGGCATCTCGGTGGATATTCCACTTCAGGCAGCAAACTCAGGTTCCCTCCCACATACCTATTTCTGAGAGAGGCCTCCTCTTGCGGTGCGTGTGGATAGTTGGCCTACCTCTTGAGTCTAAGCCAGGGAGTCAGCTCGCATCTTGAGAGGATTCGGGGTACATGGAGCATCCTTCAAGTTGCTCGTTGAACTTGGTGTTCCTCTAGCGTTGGCGCGGTGTTCTCGGGGAATCTGGAGTTGCCTAAATGAAATCAAACCAATGGGCATGTTTGAAGGGGAATGCAGGATGGCTTTGAAGTCAATGCAGGGGATTCGGGCTTCATCTCTGGTTGATTTCGGGTACACGGAACTATTTCGCATTCTCTGGTGACCTCATGGTCCCTCTAGGCTTGTGACAGTGTTCTTGTGGACTGTCTCGAGATGCATCAAGCAAGTCGAGGCTCCTTGCATCTTTGATGGGGATCATGCAGTTGTTCTGCATGCAATGCAGGGGAATCCGGCGTCATCTCGCTTCCAGGGGAAGTCTCATGGTTTTTCTCGAGTGGCGGCGGGAACCTGTGTTATATTCTCGAGTTGCAGCGGGGATGGCCCTTCAAAACTTGTGTTTGTTCAGGGACGTCAGGTCCCCTGTCTAGTTACGAGTGACACCTCAGGAATCTCTTCGACGCTTGACAGGGCAAAACGGACATTTCTCGAGGTGAAGCGGGAGGCCCAGTGTCCCTTTCCAGTAGCCACAGGGATATTGGGATTCCTATCAATGTTCAAGACGAGTCAGGCTTTGTCAGGTTTTGAAGCACTGAACTCCGCTTGCCTCTGTAGGTGTCAAGGGGATGTTAGGCCTCCTGTCGAGATGCAGCAGGGATCTAGGTCTTTCTCTAGGGTCTCCAGACGGGATTCACACATCCGTACACCTTGTGAGATGAAAGACGAGACTGCATTCAAGCCACTGCAAGGAAATCCGGCCGTCTTTCGAGTGAGGGCTTCTCGGTGTATATTCCACTTGAGTTAGCAAACTCCGGGTTCCTCCCTCTTACCTATTGCTGAGAGAAGCCTCCTCTTGAGGTGCTTGTGGAAACTTGGCCTACCTCTTGAGTCTAAGCCAGGGAATCAGCTCTCATCTCGAGACGATTTGGGATACACGGAGCATTACTCGAGTTGTTGTGCTGAACTTAGTGTTCCTCGAGACTTGGGACGGTGTTCTCAGGGAATCTCTGGAGTTGCCTAAAGGATGTCAAGCCACAGGTCGTGTTTTCTGGGGAACGTGGGATGGCTCTGGAGTCAATGCAGGGAAATCGGGCCTCATCTTGAGTTGATCTGGGGTACACGGGGCTATTTCACGTTGCTGGGGTGACCTCAGGTTCCCTCTAGATTTGTGACAGTGTTCTAGGGGACTGTCTCGAGATCCATCAAACCAGTCGAGGCTCCTTACATGTTTGATGGGGATCGCGCAATTGCTCTGCATGCAATGAGGGTAATCGGGCCTCATCTCACTTCGAGGGGGAAGTCTCATGTTTTTTCTCGAGTTGCGGCGGTAAGCTGAGTTATATTCTCGAGTTATCGCGGGGATGACCTGGCAAAACTCTCGTTTGTTCAGCGACGTCAGGACCCCTGTCTAGTAAAGAGGGACTCCTCAGGAATCTCTTCTAGGCTTGGCAGGGCAATAGAGATGTCTCTCGACGTGAGGCAGCAGACCAAGGGTCCCTGTCCGGTAGCCAAAGGATATTGGGATTCCTATCAATGTTCAAGAGGAGTCAGGCATCTGCACCTTTGGAAGCATTCATGTCCACGTGCCTCTCGAGGTGTCAAAGGGATGTGAGGCCTCCTGTCGAGATGAGTCGGGGCCTAAGGTCTTTCTCTAGGCTCTCCACAGAGGATTCAGACATCCCTTCACCTTGTGAGACGGAAGACGAGCCGTCATTCAAGCCACTGCAAGGAAATCAGGCCTTCTTTCCAGTCAGGGCATCTCGGTTTCTATTCCACTTGAGGAAGCAAATTCAGAGTAATTTCCACATACCTTTTGCTGAGAGAAGCCTCTCTTGAGGTTCTTGTGGAAAGTTGCCAAACCTCTTGAGTCTACGCCAGGGAATCAGCTCTCATCTCGAGAAGTTTCGGGGTACACAGAGCATTCCTCGAGTTGCTGTGCTGAACTTGGTGCTTCTCTAGACATGGGACGGTGTTCTCGGGGAATCTCTGGCATTGCCTAAGGGCAGTGAAGCCACTGGTATTGATTCACGGGGAATACGGGATGGCTCTGGAGTTAATGCAGGGGAATTGGGCCTCATCTCGAGTTGATTTTGGGTACATGGACGTTTTTCGCGTTGCTGGTGTGACCTCATGGTTCTTCTAGACTTCTGACAGTGATCTTGGGGACTCTCTCGAGATCCATCAAGCAAGAGGATGCTCCTTACCTGTTTGATGGGGATCACGCAATTGCTATGCATGCAATGCAGGGGAATCGGGCCTCATCTCGCTTCGAGGGGGAAGTCTCATGGTTGTTCTCGAGTTGCGGCGGGAACCTGGGGTATATGCTCGAGGTACGGCGGGGATGGCCCTTCAGAACTCGTGTTTGTTCAGCGACGTCAGGCCTACTGCCTAGATACGAGGGACACCTCAGGAATTTCTTCGAGGCTTGGCAGGGCAAAACTGATGCTTCTCGAGGTGAGGCGGGAGACCCAAGTTCGCTTTCCAGTAGACACAGGGATATTGGGATTCCTATCAATGTTCAATAGTAGTCAGGCTTCATCACTTTTTGAAGCATTGTACTCTGCCAGCCTCTGAATGTGTCAAATGGATGTGAGGCCTCCTGTCGAGATGAGGCGGGGAACTAGGGCTTTCTCTACGATCCCCACAGAGGATTCAGACATCCCTTCACCTTCTGAGATGAAAGACGATCCTGCATTCAAGCCACTGCAAGGGAATCTTGCCTTTTTTAAAGGCAAGACTTCGCTGTGTATATTATACATGTGGCAGAAAACTCAGGGTCACTACTAAATACTTATTGCTGAGAGAAGCCTCCACTTGAACTGCTTGAGGAAAGTTGGCATACGTCTTGAGTCTAAGCCAGGGAATCAGCTCTCATCACGTGATGATACAGGTATCACGGTGCATTCCTCGAGTGGCTGTACTGAAGGTGCTATTCTTCTATACTTGGGACGGTGTTCTCAGGGAATCTCTGGACTTGCCTGAATTAAATCAAGAAATTGGTCTTGTTTGAATGGGAATGCAGGATGGCTCTGGAGTCAATGAATGGTATTGGTCCTCATCTAGAGTTGATTTGGTTTACAGGGAACTATTTCGTGTTGCTGGGGTGACCTCAGGGTCCCTCTAGCCTTGTGACAGTTATCTTGGGGACTCTATCGAGATCCATCAAGCAAGTCGAGGCTCCTTACATGTTTGATGGGGATCACACAGTTGTTCTGCATGCAATGCAGGGGAATCCGGCCTCATCTCGGTTCCAGGGGGAAGTCTCATGGTTTTTCTAAAGTTGCGGTGGGAACCTGTGTTATATTCTCGAGTTGCAGCGGGGATGGCCCTTCAAAACTTGTGTTTGTTCAGCAAAGTCAGGACTCCTGTCTAGTTACGAGGGACACCTCAGGAATCTCCTTGACGCGAGGCAGGGCAAAACGGACACTTCTCGAGGTGAGGGGGAAGGCCCAGTGTCCCTTTCCAGTAGCCGCAGGGATATTGGGATTCCTATCAATGTTCAATAGTAGTCAGGCTTCGTCACTTTTTGAAGCATTGTACTCTGCCAGCCTCTGAATGTGTCAAATGGATGTGAGGCCTCCTGTCGAGATGAGGCGGGGAACTAGGGCTTTCTCTACGATCCCCACAGAGGATTCAGACATCCCTTCACCTTCTGAGACGAAAGACGATCCTGCATTCAAGCCACTGCAAGGGAAACTTGCCTTCTTTCAAGGCAAGACTTCGCTGTGTATATTATACTTGTGGCAGCAAACTCAGGGTCACTCCTAAATACCTATTGCTGAGAGAAGCCTCCCCTTTAGGTGCTGGAGGAAAGTTGGCATACGACTTGAGTCTAAGCCAGGGAATCAGCTCTCATCTCGAGACAATTCAGGGTACACGGTGCATTCCTCGAGTGGCTGTACTGAAGGTGGTATTCTTCTATACTTGGGACGGTGTTCTCAGGGAATCTCTGGACTTGCCTGAATTAAATCAGGAAATTGGTCTTGTTTGAATGGGAACGCAGGATGGCTCTGGAGTCAATGAAGGGGAATTGGTCCTCATCTAGAATTGATTTGGTGTACAGGGAACTATTTCGTGTTGCTGGGGTGACCTCAGGGTCCCTCTAGCCTTGTGACAGTGATGTTGGGGACTCTCTCGAGATCCACCAAGCAAGTCGAGGCTCCTTACATGTTTGATGGGGATCACACAGTTGTTCTGCAGGCAATGCAGGGGAATCCGGCCTCATCTCGCTTCCAGGGGAAAGTCTCATGGTTTTTCTCGAGTTACGGCAGGAACCTGTGTTATATTCTCGAGTTGCAGCGGGGATGGCCCTTCAAAACTTGTGTTTGTTCAGGGACGTCAGGACCCCTGTCTAGTTACGAGTGATACCTCAGGAATCTCTTCGACGCTTGACAGGGCAAAACGGACATTTCTCGAGGTGAAGCGGGAGGCCCAGTGTCCCTTTCCAGTAGCCGCAGGGATATTGGGATTCCTATCAATGTTCAAGACGAGTCAGGATTTGTCAGCTTTTGAAGCACTGAACTCCGCTTGCCTCTGTAGGTGTCAAGGGGATGTTACGCCTCCTGTCGAGATGCAGCAGGGATCTAGGTCTTTCTCTAGGGTCTCCAGAGCAGATTCAAACATCCGTACACCTTGTGAGATGAAAGACGAGACTGCATTCAAGCCACTGCAAGGAAATCCGGCCGTCTTTCGAGTGAGGGCTTCTCGGTGTATATTCCACTTGAGTTAGCAAACTCCGGGTTCCTCCCTCTTACCTATTTCTGAGAGAAGCCTCCTCTTGAGGTGCTTGTGGAAACTTGGCCTACCTCTTGAGTCTAAGCCAGGGAATCAGCTCTCATCTCGAGACGATTTGGGATACACGGAGCATTACTCGAGTTGTTGTGCTGAACTTAGTGTTCCTCGAGACTTGGGACGGTGTTCTCAGGGAATCTCTGGAGTTGCCTAAAGGATGTCAAGCCACAGGTCGTGTTTTCTGGGGAACGTGGGATGGCTCTGGAGTCAATGCAGGGAAATCGGGCCTCATCTTGAGTTGATCTGGGTTACACGGGGCTATTTCAGGTTGCTGGGGTGACCTCAGGTTCCCTCTAGATTTGTGACAGTGTTCTAGGGGACTGTCTCGAGATCCATCAAACCAGTCGAGGCTCCTTACATGTTTGATGGGGATCGCGCAATTGCTCTGCATGCAATGAGGCTAATCGGGCCTCATCTCACTTCGAGGGGGAAGTCTCATGGTTTTTCTCGAGTTGCGGCTGTAAGCTGAGTTATATTCTCGAGTTATCGCGGGGATGACCTGGCAAAACTCTCGTTTGTTCAGCGACGTCAGGACTCCTGTCTAGTAAAGAGGGACTCCTCAGGAATCTCTTCGAGGCTTGGCAGGGCAATAGGGATGCTTCTCGACGTGAGGCAGCAGACCAAGGGTCCCTGTCCGGTAGCCAAAGGATATTGGGATTCCTATCAATGTTCAAGAGGAGTCAGGCATCTGCACCTTTGGAAGCATTCATGTCCACGTGCCTCTCGAGGTGTCAAAGGGATGTGAGGCCTCCTGTCGAGATGAGTCGGGGCCTGAGGTCTTTCTCTAGGCTCTCCACAGAGGATTCAGACATCCCTTCACCTTGTGAGACGGAAGACGAGCCGTCATTCAAGCCACTGCAAGGAAATCAGGCCTTCTTTCCAGTCAGGGCATCTCGCTTTATATTCCACTTGAGGAAGCAAATTCAGAGTAATTTCCACATACCTTTTGCTGAGAGAAGCCTCTCTTGAGGTCCTTGTGGAATGTTGCCAAACCTCTTGAGTCTACGCCAGGGAATCAGCTCTCATCTCGAGAAGTTTCCGGGTACACAGAGCATTCCTCGAGTTGCTGTGCTGAACTTGGTGTTTCTCTAGACATGGGACGGTGTTCTCGGGGAATCTCTGGCATTGCCTAAGGGCAGTGAAGCCACTGGTATTGATTCACGGGGAATACGGGATGGCTCTGGAGTTAATGCAGGGGAATTGGGCCTCATCTCGAGTTGATTTTGGGTACATGGACGTTTTTCGCGTTGCTGGTGTGACCTCATGGTTCTTCTAGACTTCTGACAGTGATCTTGGGGACTCTCTCGAGATCCATCAAGCAAGAGGATGCTCCTTACCTGTTTGATGGGGATCACGCAATTGCTATGCATGCAATGCAGGGGAATCGGGCCTCATCTCGCTTCGAGGGGGAAGTCTCATGGTTGTTCTCGAGTTGCGGCGGGAACCCGGGGTATATACTCGAGGTACGGCGGGGATGGCCCTTCAGAACTCGTGTTTGTTCAGCGACGTCAGGCCTACTGCCTAGATACGAGGGACACCTCAGGAATTTCTTCGAGGCTTGGCAGGGCAAAACTGATGCTTCTCGAGGTGAGGCGGGAGACCCAAGGTCGCTTTCCAGTAGACACAGGGATATTGGGATTCCTATCAATGTTCAATAGTAGTCAGGCTTCGTCACTTTTTGAAGCATTGTACTCTGCCAGCCTCTGAATGTGTCAAATGGATGTGAGGCCTCCTGTCGAGATGAGGCGGGGAACTAGGGCTTTCTCTATGATCCCCACAGAGGATTCAGACATCCCTTCACCTTCTGAGACGAAAGACGATCCTGCATTCAAGCCACTGCAAGAGAATCTTGCCTTTTTTAAAGGCAAGACTTCGCTGTGTATATTATATTTGTGGCAGAAAACTCAGGGTCACTACTAAATACTTATTGCTGAGAGAAGCCTCCTCTTGAAGTGCTTGAGGAAAGTTGGCATACGTCTTGAGTCTGAGCCAGGGAATCAGCTCTCATCTCGTGACGATACAGGGAACACGGTGCATTCCTCGAGTGGCTGTACTGAAGGTGGTATTCTTCTATACTTGGGACGGTGTTCTCAGGGAATCTCTGGACTTGCCTGAATTAAACCAGGAAATTGGTCTTGTTTGAATGGGAACGCAGGATGGCTCTGGAGTCAATGAAGGTTATTGGTCCTCATCTAGATTTGATTTGGTTTACAGGGAACTATTTCGTGTTGCTGGGGTGACCTCAGGGTCCCTCTAGCCTTGTGACAGTTATCTTGGGGACTCTATCGAGATCCATCAAGCAAGTCGAGGCTCCTTACATGTTTGATGGGGATCACACAGTTGTTCTGCATGCAATGCAGGGGAATCCGGCCTCATCTCGGTTCCAGGTGAAAGTCTCATGGTTTTTCTCGAGTTGCGGCGGGAACCTGTGTTATATTCTCGAGTTGCAGCGGGGATGGCCCTTCAAAACTTGTGTTTGTTCAGCAAAGTCAAGACTCCTCTCTAGTTACGAGGGACACCTCACGAATCTCTTTGACGCGAGGCAGGGCAAAACGGACACTTCTCGAGGTGAGGGGGAAGGCCCAGTGTCCCTTTCCCGTAGCCGCAGGGATATTGGGATTCCTATCAATGTTCAATAGAAGTCAGGCTTCGTCACTTTTTGAAGCATTGTACTCTGCCAGCCTCTGAATGTGTCAAATGAATGTGAGGCCTCCTGTCGAGATGAGGCGGGGAACTAGGGCTTTCTCTACGATCCCCACAGAGGATTCAGACATCCCTTCACCTTCTGAGACGAAAGACGATCCTGCATTCAAGCCACTGCAAGGGAAACTTGCCTTCTTTCAAAGCAAGACTTCGCTGTGTATATTATACTTGTGGCAGCAAACTCAGGGTCACTCCTAAATACCTATTGCTGAGAGAAGCCTCCCCTTTAGGTGCTGGAGGAAAGTTGGCATACGACTTGAGTCTAAGCCAGGGAATCAGCTCTCATCTCGAGACGATTCAGGGTACACGGTGCATTCCTCGAGTGGCTGTACTGAAGGTGGTATTCTTCTATACTTGGGACGGTGTTCTCAGGGAATCTCTGGACTTGCCTGAATTAAATCAGGAAATTGGTCTTGTTTGAATGGGAACGCAGGATGGCTCTGGAGTCAATGAAGGGGAATTGGTCCTCATCTAGAGTTGATTTGGTGTACAGGGAACTATTTCGTGTTGCTGGGGTGACCGCAGGGTCCCTCTAGCCTTGTGACAGTGATGTGGGGGACTCTCTCGAGATCCACCAAGCAAGTCGAGGCTCCTTACATGTTTGATGGGGATCATACAGTTGTTCTGCAGGTAATGCAAGGGAATCCGGCCTCATCTCGCTTCCAGGGGGAAGTCTCATGGTTTTTCTCGAGTTACGGCGGGAACCTGTGTTATATTCTCGAGTTGCAGCAGGGATGGCCCTTCAAAACTTCTGTTTGTTCAGCAAACTCAGGACTCCTGTTTAGTTACGACGGACACCTCAGGATTATCTTTGACGCGAGGCAGGGCAAAACGGACACTTCTCGAGGTGAGGGGGGAGGCCCAGGGTCCCTTTCCAGTAGCCGCAGGGATATTGGGATTCCTATCAATGTTCAACAGGAGTTAGGCATCCCCATTCTTTATCGGATTGAACTCCGGGTGCCTCTCGATGTGTCAAAAGGACATGAGGCCTCCTTTCGAGATGAGAAGGTTACCAAGGCTTTCCCTATGTCCTCCACAGGAGATTGAGACATCGATTCACCTTTTGAGATGAAAGATGAGCCTGTATTCAATCTACTGCTAGCAAACCCGTCCTTCTTTCGTGTCAGGGCATCTCGGTGGATATTCCACTTCAGGCAGCAAACTCAGGTTCCCTCCCACATACCTATTTCTGAGAGAGGCCTCCTCTTGCGGTGCGTGTGGATAGTTGGCCTACCTCTTGAGTCTAAGCCAGGGAGTCAGCTCGCATCTTGAGAGGATTCGGGGTACATGGAGCATCCTTCAAGTTGCTCGTTGAACTTGGTGTTCCTCTAGCGTTGGCGCGGTGTTCTCGGGGAATCTGGAGTTGCCTAAATGAAATCAAACCAATGGGCATGTTTGAAGGGGAATGCAGGATGGCTTTGAAGTCAATGCAGGGGATTCGGGCTTCATCTCTGGTTGATTTCGGGTACACGGAACTATTTCGCATTCTCTGGTGACCTCATGGTCCCTCTAGGCTTGTGACAGTGTTCTTGTGGACTGTCTCGAGATGCATCAAGCAAGTCGAGGCTCCTTGCATCTTTGATGGGGATCATGCAGTTGTTCTGCATGCAATGCAGGGGAATCCGGCGTCATCTCGCTTCCAGGGGAAGTCTCATGGTTTTTCTCGAGTGGCGGCGGGAACCTGTGTTATATTCTCGAGTTGCAGCGGGGATGGCCCTTCAAAACTTGTGTTTGTTCAGGGACGTCAGGTCCCCTGTCTAGTTACGAGTGACACCTCAGGAATCTCTTCGACGCTTGACAGGGCAAAACGGACATTTCTCGAGGTGAAGCGGGAGGCCCAGTGTCCCTTTCCAGTAGCCACAGGGATATTGGGATTCCTATCAATGTTCAAGACGAGTCAGGCTTTGTCAGGTTTTGAAGCACTGAACTCCGCTTGCCTCTGTAGGTGTCAAGGGGATGTTAGGCCTCCTGTCGAGATGCAGCAGGGATCTAGGTCTTTCTCTAGGGTCTCCAGACGGGATTCACACATCCGTACACCTTGTGAGATGAAAGACGAGACTGCATTCAAGCCACTGCAAGGAAATCCGGCCGTCTTTCGAGTGAGGGCTTCTCGGTGTATATTCCACTTGAGTTAGCAAACTCCGGGTTCCTCCCTCTTACCTATTGCTGAGAGAAGCCTCCTCTTGAGGTGCTTGTGGAAACTTGGCCTACCTCTTGAGTCTAAGCCAGGGAATCAGCTCTCATCTCGAGACGATTTGGGATACACGGAGCATTACTCGAGTTGTTGTGCTGAACTTAGTGTTCCTCGAGACTTGGGACGGTGTTCTCAGGGAATCTCTGGAGTTGCCTAAAGGATGTCAAGCCACAGGTCGTGTTTTCTGGGGAACGTGGGATGGCTCTGGAGTCAATGCAGGGAAATCGGGCCTCATCTTGAGTTGATCTGGGGTACACGGGGCTATTTCACGTTGCTGGGGTGACCTCAGGTTCCCTCTAGATTTGTGACAGTGTTCTAGGGGACTGTCTCGAGATCCATCAAACCAGTCGAGGCTCCTTACATGTTTGATGGGGATCGCGCAATTGCTCTGCATGCAATGAGGGTAATCGGGCCTCATCTCACTTCGAGGGGGAAGTCTCATGTTTTTTCTCGAGTTGCGGCGGTAAGCTGAGTTATATTCTCGAGTTATCGCGGGGATGACCTGGCAAAACTCTCGTTTGTTCAGCGACGTCAGGACCCCTGTCTAGTAAAGAGGGACTCCTCAGGAATCTCTTCTAGGCTTGGCAGGGCAATAGAGATGTCTCTCGACGTGAGGCAGCAGACCAAGGGTCCCTGTCCGGTAGCCAAAGGATATTGGGATTCCTATCAATGTTCAAGAGGAGTCAGGCATCTGCACCTTTGGAAGCATTCATGTCCACGTGCCTCTCGAGGTGTCAAAGGGATGTGAGGCCTCCTGTCGAGATGAGTCGGGGCCTAAGGTCTTTCTCTAGGCTCTCCACAGAGGATTCAGACATCCCTTCACCTTGTGAGACGGAAGACGAGCCGTCATTCAAGCCACTGCAAGGAAATCAGGCCTTCTTTCCAGTCAGGGCATCTCGGTTTCTATTCCACTTGAGGAAGCAAATTCAGAGTAATTTCCACATACCTTTTGCTGAGAGAAGCCTCTCTTGAGGTTCTTGTGGAAAGTTGCCAAACCTCTTGAGTCTACGCCAGGGAATCAGCTCTCATCTCGAGAAGTTTCGGGGTACACAGAGCATTCCTCGAGTTGCTGTGCTGAACTTGGTGCTTCTCTAGACATGGGACGGTGTTCTCGGGGAATCTCTGGCATTGCCTAAGGGCAGTGAAGCCACTGGTATTGATTCACGGGGAATACGGGATGGCTCTGGAGTTAATGCAGGGGAATTGGGCCTCATCTCGAGTTGATTTTGGGTACATGGACGTTTTTCGCGTTGCTGGTGTGACCTCATGGTTCTTCTAGACTTCTGACAGTGATCTTGGGGACTCTCTCGAGATCCATCAAGCAAGAGGATGCTCCTTACCTGTTTGATGGGGATCACGCAATTGCTATGCATGCAATGCAGGGGAATCGGGCCTCATCTCGCTTCGAGGGGGAAGTCTCATGGTTGTTCTCGAGTTGCGGCGGGAACCTGGGGTATATGCTCGAGGTACGGCGGGGATGGCCCTTCAGAACTCGTGTTTGTTCAGCGACGTCAGGCCTACTGCCTAGATACGAGGGACACCTCAGGAATTTCTTCGAGGCTTGGCAGGGCAAAACTGATGCTTCTCGAGGTGAGGCGGGAGACCCAAGTTCGCTTTCCAGTAGACACAGGGATATTGGGATTCCTATCAATGTTCAATAGTAGTCAGGCTTCATCACTTTTTGAAGCATTGTACTCTGCCAGCCTCTGAATGTGTCAAATGGATGTGAGGCCTCCTGTCGAGATGAGGCGGGGAACTAGGGCTTTCTCTACGATCCCCACAGAGGATTCAGACATCCCTTCACCTTCTGAGATGAAAGACGATCCTGCATTCAAGCCACTGCAAGGGAATCTTGCCTTTTTTAAAGGCAAGACTTCGCTGTGTATATTATACATGTGGCAGAAAACTCAGGGTCACTACTAAATACTTATTGCTGAGAGAAGCCTCCACTTGAACTGCTTGAGGAAAGTTGGCATACGTCTTGAGTCTAAGCCAGGGAATCAGCTCTCATCACGTGATGATACAGGTATCACGGTGCATTCCTCGAGTGGCTGTACTGAAGGTGCTATTCTTCTATACTTGGGACGGTGTTCTCAGGGAATCTCTGGACTTGCCTGAATTAAATCAAGAAATTGGTCTTGTTTGAATGGGAATGCAGGATGGCTCTGGAGTCAATGAATGGTATTGGTCCTCATCTAGAGTTGATTTGGTTTACAGGGAACTATTTCGTGTTGCTGGGGTGACCTCAGGGTCCCTCTAGCCTTGTGACAGTTATCTTGGGGACTCTATCGAGATCCATCAAGCAAGTCGAGGCTCCTTACATGTTTGATGGGGATCACACAGTTGTTCTGCATGCAATGCAGGGGAATCCGGCCTCATCTCGGTTCCAGGGGGAAGTCTCATGGTTTTTCTAAAGTTGCGGTGGGAACCTGTGTTATATTCTCGAGTTGCAGCGGGGATGGCCCTTCAAAACTTGTGTTTGTTCAGCAAAGTCAGGACTCCTGTCTAGTTACGAGGGACACCTCAGGAATCTCCTTGACGCGAGGCAGGGCAAAACGGACACTTCTCGAGGTGAGGGGGAAGGCCCAGTGTCCCTTTCCAGTAGCCGCAGGGATATTGGGATTCCTATCAATGTTCAATAGTAGTCAGGCTTCGTCACTTTTTGAAGCATTGTACTCTGCCAGCCTCTGAATGTGTCAAATGGATGTGAGGCCTCCTGTCGAGATGAGGCGGGGAACTAGGGCTTTCTCTACGATCCCCACAGAGGATTCAGACATCCCTTCACCTTCTGAGACGAAAGACGATCCTGCATTCAAGCCACTGCAAGGGAAACTTGCCTTCTTTCAAGGCAAGACTTCGCTGTGTATATTATACTTGTGGCAGCAAACTCAGGGTCACTCCTAAATACCTATTGCTGAGAGAAGCCTCCCCTTTAGGTGCTGGAGGAAAGTTGGCATACGACTTGAGTCTAAGCCAGGGAATCAGCTCTCATCTCGAGACAATTCAGGGTACACGGTGCATTCCTCGAGTGGCTGTACTGAAGGTGGTATTCTTCTATACTTGGGACGGTGTTCTCAGGGAATCTCTGGACTTGCCTGAATTAAATCAGGAAATTGGTCTTGTTTGAATGGGAACGCAGGATGGCTCTGGAGTCAATGAAGGGGAATTGGTCCTCATCTAGAATTGATTTGGTGTACAGGGAACTATTTCGTGTTGCTGGGGTGACCTCAGGGTCCCTCTAGCCTTGTGACAGTGATGTTGGGGACTCTCTCGAGATCCACCAAGCAAGTCGAGGCTCCTTACATGTTTGATGGGGATCACACAGTTGTTCTGCAGGCAATGCAGGGGAATCCGGCCTCATCTCGCTTCCAGGGGAAAGTCTCATGGTTTTTCTCGAGTTACGGCAGGAACCTGTGTTATATTCTCGAGTTGCAGCGGGGATGGCCCTTCAAAACTTGTGTTTGTTCAGGGACGTCAGGACCCCTGTCTAGTTACGAGTGATACCTCAGGAATCTCTTCGACGCTTGACAGGGCAAAACGGACATTTCTCGAGGTGAAGCGGGAGGCCCAGTGTCCCTTTCCAGTAGCCGCAGGGATATTGGGATTCCTATCAATGTTCAAGACGAGTCAGGATTTGTCAGCTTTTGAAGCACTGAACTCCGCTTGCCTCTGTAGGTGTCAAGGGGATGTTACGCCTCCTGTCGAGATGCAGCAGGGATCTAGGTCTTTCTCTAGGGTCTCCAGAGCAGATTCAAACATCCGTACACCTTGTGAGATGAAAGACGAGACTGCATTCAAGCCACTGCAAGGAAATCCGGCCGTCTTTCGAGTGAGGGCTTCTCGGTGTATATTCCACTTGAGTTAGCAAACTCCGGGTTCCTCCCTCTTACCTATTTCTGAGAGAAGCCTCCTCTTGAGGTGCTTGTGGAAACTTGGCCTACCTCTTGAGTCTAAGCCAGGGAATCAGCTCTCATCTCGAGACGATTTGGGATACACGGAGCATTACTCGAGTTGTTGTGCTGAACTTAGTGTTCCTCGAGACTTGGGACGGTGTTCTCAGGGAATCTCTGGAGTTGCCTAAAGGATGTCAAGCCACAGGTCGTGTTTTCTGGGGAACGTGGGATGGCTCTGGAGTCAATGCAGGGAAATCGGGCCTCATCTTGAGTTGATCTGGGTTACACGGGGCTATTTCAGGTTGCTGGGGTGACCTCAGGTTCCCTCTAGATTTGTGACAGTGTTCTAGGGGACTGTCTCGAGATCCATCAAACCAGTCGAGGCTCCTTACATGTTTGATGGGGATCGCGCAATTGCTCTGCATGCAATGAGGCTAATCGGGCCTCATCTCACTTCGAGGGGGAAGTCTCATGGTTTTTCTCGAGTTGCGGCTGTAAGCTGAGTTATATTCTCGAGTTATCGCGGGGATGACCTGGCAAAACTCTCGTTTGTTCAGCGACGTCAGGACTCCTGTCTAGTAAAGAGGGACTCCTCAGGAATCTCTTCGAGGCTTGGCAGGGCAATAGGGATGCTTCTCGACGTGAGGCAGCAGACCAAGGGTCCCTGTCCGGTAGCCAAAGGATATTGGGATTCCTATCAATGTTCAAGAGGAGTCAGGCATCTGCACCTTTGGAAGCATTCATGTCCACGTGCCTCTCGAGGTGTCAAAGGGATGTGAGGCCTCCTGTCGAGATGAGTCGGGGCCTGAGGTCTTTCTCTAGGCTCTCCACAGAGGATTCAGACATCCCTTCACCTTGTGAGACGGAAGACGAGCCGTCATTCAAGCCACTGCAAGGAAATCAGGCCTTCTTTCCAGTCAGGGCATCTCGCTTTATATTCCACTTGAGGAAGCAAATTCAGAGTAATTTCCACATACCTTTTGCTGAGAGAAGCCTCTCTTGAGGTCCTTGTGGAATGTTGCCAAACCTCTTGAGTCTACGCCAGGGAATCAGCTCTCATCTCGAGAAGTTTCCGGGTACACAGAGCATTCCTCGAGTTGCTGTGCTGAACTTGGTGTTTCTCTAGACATGGGACGGTGTTCTCGGGGAATCTCTGGCATTGCCTAAGGGCAGTGAAGCCACTGGTATTGATTCACGGGGAATACGGGATGGCTCTGGAGTTAATGCAGGGGAATTGGGCCTCATCTCGAGTTGATTTTGGGTACATGGACGTTTTTCGCGTTGCTGGTGTGACCTCATGGTTCTTCTAGACTTCTGACAGTGATCTTGGGGACTCTCTCGAGATCCATCAAGCAAGAGGATGCTCCTTACCTGTTTGATGGGGATCACGCAATTGCTATGCATGCAATGCAGGGGAATCGGGCCTCATCTCGCTTCGAGGGGGAAGTCTCATGGTTGTTCTCGAGTTGCGGCGGGAACCCGGGGTATATACTCGAGGTACGGCGGGGATGGCCCTTCAGAACTCGTGTTTGTTCAGCGACGTCAGGCCTACTGCCTAGATACGAGGGACACCTCAGGAATTTCTTCGAGGCTTGGCAGGGCAAAACTGATGCTTCTCGAGGTGAGGCAGGAGACCCAAGGTCGCTTTCCAGTAGACATAGGGATATTGGGATTCCTATCAATGTTCAATAGTAGTCAGGCTTCGTCACTTTTTGAAGCATTGTACTCTGCCAGCCTCTGAATGTGTCAAATGGATGTGAGGCCTCCTGTCGAGATGAGGCGGGGAACTAGGGCTTTCTCTACGATCCCCACAGAGGATTCAGACATCCCTTCACCTTCTGAGACGAAAGACGATCCTGCATTCAAGCCACTGCAAGGGAATCTTGCCTTTTTTAAAGGCAAGACTTCGCTGTGTATATTATACTTGTGGCAGAAAACTCAGGGTCACTACTAAATACCTATTGCTGAGAGAAGCCTCCTCTTGAAGTGCTTGAGGAAAGTTGGCATACGTCTTGAGTCTAAGCCAGGGAATCAGCTCTCATCTCGTGACGATACAGGGATCACGGTGCATTCCTCGAGTGGCTGTACTGAAGGTGGTATTCTTCTATACTTGGGACGGTGTTCTCAGGGAATCTCTGGAGTTGCCTGAATTAAATCAAGAAATTGCTCTTGTTTGAATGGGAACGCAGGATGGCTCTGGAGTCAATGAAGGGTATTGGTCCTCATCTAGAGTTGATTTGGTTTACAGGGAACTATTTCGTGTTGCTGGGGTGACCTCAGGGTCCCTCTAGCCTTGTGACAGTTATCTTGGGGACTCTATCGAGATCCATCAAGCAAGTCGAGGCTCCTTACATGTTTGATGGGGATCACACAGTTGTTCTGCATGCAATGCAGGAGAATCCGGCCTCATCTCGGTTCCAGGGGGAAGTCTCATGGTTTTTCTCGAGTTGCGGCGGGAACCTGTGTTATATTCTCGAGTTGCAGCGGGGATGGCCCTTCAAAACTTGTGTTTGTTCAGCAAAGTCAGGACTCCTGTCTAGTTACCAGGGACACCTCACGAATCTCTTTGACGCGAGGCAGGGCAAAACGGACACTTCTCGAGGTGAGGGGGAAGGCCCAGTGTCCCTTTCCAGTAGCCGCAGGGATTTTGGGATTCCTATCACTGTTCAATAGTAGTCAGGCTTCGTCACTTTTTTGAAGCATTGTACACTGCCAGCCTCTGAATGTGTCAAATGGATGTGAGGCCTCCTGTCGAGATGAGGCGGGGAACTAGGGCTTTCTCTACGATCCCCACAGAGGATTCAGACATCCCTTCACCTTCTGAGACGAAAGACGATCCTGCATTCAAGCCACTGCAAGGGAAACTTGCCTTCTTTCAAAGCAAGACTTCGCTGTGTATATTATACTTGTGGCAGCAAACTCAGGGTCACTCCTAAATACCTATTGCTGAGAGAAGCCTCCCCTTTAGGTGCTTGAGGAAAGTTGGCATACGACTTGAGTCTAAGCCAGGGAATCAGCTCTCATCTCGAGACGATTCAGGGTAAACGGTGCATTCCTCGAGTGGCTGTACTGAAGGTGGTATTCTTCTATACTTGGGACGGTGTTCTCAGGGAATCTCTGGACTTGCCTGAATTAAATCAGGAAATTGGTCTTGTTTGAATGGGAACGCAGGATGGCTCTGGAGTCAATGAAAGGGAATTGGTCCTCATCTAGAGTTGATTTGGTGTACAAGGAACTATTTCGTGTTGCTGGGGTGACTTCAGGGTCCCTCTAGCCTTGTGACAGTGATGTTGGGGACTCTCTCGATATCCACCAAGCAAGTCGAGGCTCCTTACATGTTTGATGGGGATCACACAGTTGTTCTGCAGGTAATGCAGGGGAATCCGGCCTCATCTCGCTTCCAGGGGGAAGTCTCATGGTTTTTCTCGAGTTACGGCGGGAACCTGTGTTATATTCTCGAGTTGCAGCAGGGATGACCCTTCAAAACTTCTGTTTGTTCAGCAAACTCAGGACTCCTGTTTAGTTACGAGGGACACCTCAGGATTCTCTTTGACGCGAGGCAGGGCAAAACCGACACTTCTCGAGGTGAGGGGGGAGGCCCAGGGTCCCTTTCCAGTAGCCGCAGGGATATTGGGATTCCTATCAATGTTCAACAGGAGTTAGGCATACCCATTCTTTGTCGGATTGAACTCCGGGTGCCTCTCGATGTGTCAAAACGATATGAGGCCTCCTTTCGAGATGAGAAGGTTACCAAGGCTTTCCCTATGGCCTCCACAGGAGATTGAGACATCGATTCACCTTGTGAGATGAAAGATGAGCCTGTATTCAATCTACTGCTAGCAAACCTGGCCTTCTTTCGAGTCAGGGCATCTCGGTGGATATTCCACTTCAGGCAACAAACTCAGGTTCCCTCCCACATACCTATTTCTGAGAGAGGCCTCCTCTTGCGGTGCGTGTGGATAGTTGGCCGACCTCTTCAGTCTAAGGCAGGGAGTCAGCTCGCATCTTGAGAGGATTCGGGGTACATGGAGCATCCTTCGAGTTGCTCGTTGAACTTGGTGTTCCTCTAGCGTTGGCGCGGTGTTCTCGGGGAATCTCTGGAGTTGCCTAAATGAAATCAAACCAATGGGCATGTTTGAAGGGGAATGCAGGATGGCTCTGAAGTCAATGCAGGGGATTCGGGCTTCATCTCTGGTTGATTTCGGGTACATGGAACTATTTCGCATTCTCCAGCGACCTCAGGTTCCCTCTAGATTTGTGACAGTGTTCTAGGGGACTGTCTCGAGATCCATCAAACCAGTCGAGGCTCCTTACATGTTTGATGGGATCGCGCAATTGCTCTGCATGCAATGAGGGTAATCGGGCCTCATCTCATTTCGAGGGGGAAGTCTCATGGTTTTTCTCGAGTTGCGGCGGTAAGCTGAGTTATATTCTCGAGTTATCGCGGGGATGACCTGGCAAAACTCTCGTTTGTTCAGCGACGTCAGGACACCTGTCTAGTAAAGAGGGACTCCTCAGGAATCTCTTCGAGGCTTGGAAGGGCAATAGAGATGTCTCTCGACGTGAGGCAGCAGACCAAGTGTCCCTGTCCGGTAGCCAAAGGATATTGGGATTCCTATCAATGTTCAAGAGGAGTCAGGCATCTGCACCTTTGGAAGCATTCATGTCCACGTGCCTCTCGAGGTGTCAAAGGGATGTGAGGCCTCCTGTCCAAATGAGTCGGGGCCTAAGGTCTTTCTCTAGGCTCTCCACAGAGGATTCAGACATCCCTTCACCTTGTGAGACGGAAGACGAGCCGTCATTCAAGCCACTGCAAGGAAATCAGGCCTTCTTTCCAGTCAGGGCATCTCGCTTTATATTCCACTTGAGGAAGCAAATTCAGAGTAATTTCCACATACCTTTTGCTGAGAGAAGCCTCTCTTGAGGTTCTTGTGGAAATTTGCCAAACCTCTTGAGTCTACGCCAGGGAATCAGCTCTCATCTCGAGAAGTTTCGGGGTACACAGAGCATTCCTCGAGTTGCTGTGCTGAACTTGGTGTTTCTCTAGACATGGGACGGTGTTCTCGGGGAATCTCTGGCATTGCCTAAGGGCAGTGAAGCCACTGGTATTGATTCACGGGGAATACGGGATGGCTCTGGAGTTAATGCAGGGGAATTGGGCCTCATCTCGAGTTGATTTTGGGTACATGGACGTTTTTCGCGTTGCTGGTGTGACCTCATGGTTCTTCTAGACTTCTGACAGTGATCTTGGGGACTCTCTCGAGATCCATCAAGCAAGAGGATGCTCCTTACCTGTTTGATGGGGATCACGCAATTGCTATGCATGCAATGCAGGGGAATCGGGCCTCATCTCGCTTCGAGGGGGAAGTCTCATGGTTGTTCTCGAGTTGCGGCGGGAACCCGGGGTATATACTCGAGGTACGGCGGGGATGGCCCTTCAGAACTCGTGTTTGTTCAGCGACGTCAGGCCTACTGCCTAGATACGAGGGACACCTCAGGAATTTCTTCGAGGCTTGGCAGGACAAAACTGATGCTTCTCGAGGTGAGGCGGGAGACCCAAGGTCGCTTTCCAGTAGACACAGGGATATTGGGATTCCTATCAATGTTCAATAGTAGTCAGGCTTCGTCACTTTTTGAAGCATTGTACTCTGCCAGCCTCTGAATGTGTCAAATGGATGTGAGGCCTCCTGTCGAGATGAAGCGGGGAACTAGGGCTTTCTCTACGATCCCCACAGAGGATTCAGACATCCCTTCACCTTCTGAGACGAAAGACGATCCTGCATTCAAGCCACTGCAAGGGAATCTTGCCTTTTTTAAAGGCAAGACTTTGCTGTGTATATTATACTTGTGGCAGAAAACTCAGGGTCACTACTAAATACCTATTGCTGAGAGAAGCCTCCTCTTGAAGTGCTTGAGGAAAGTTGGCTTACGTCTTGAGTCTAAGCCAGGGAATCAGCTCTCATCTCGTGCCGATACAGGGATCACGGTGCATTCCTCGAGTGGCTATACTGAAGGTGGTATTCTTCTATACTTGGGACGGTGTTCTCAGGGAATCTCTGGACTTGCCTGAATTAAATCAAGAAATTGGTCTTGTTTGAATGGGAACGCAGGATGGCTCTGGAGTCAATGAATGGTATTGGTCCTCATCTAGAGTTGATTTCGTTTACAGGGAACTATTTTGTGTTGCTGGGGTGACCTCAGGGTCCCTCTAGTCTTGTGACAGTTATCTTGGGGACTCTATCGAGATCCATCAAGCAAGTCGAGGCTCCTTACATGTTTGATGGGGATCACACAGTTGTTCTGCATGCAATGCAGGGGAATCCGGCCTCATCTCGGTTCCAGGGGGAAGTCTCATGGTTTTTCTCGAGTTACGGTGGGAACCTGTGATATATTCTCGAGTTGCAGCGGGGATGGCCCTTCAAAACTTGTGTTTGTTCAGCAAAGTCAGGACTCCTGTCTAGTTACCAGGGACACCTCACGAATCTCTTTGACGCGAGGCAGGGCAAAACGGACACTTCTCGAGGTGAGGGGGAAGGCCCAGTGTCCCTTTCCAGTAGCCGCAGGGATTTTGGGATTCCTATCACTGTTCAATAGTAGTCAGGCTTCGTCACTTTTTTGAAGCATTGTACACTGCCAGCCTCTGAATGTGTCAAATGGATGTGAGGCCTCCTGTCGAGATGAGGCGGGGAACTAGGGCTTTCTCTACGATCCCCACAGAGGATTCAGACATCCCTTCACCTTCTGAGACGAAAGACGATCCTGCATTCAAGCCACTGCAAGGGAAACTTGCCTTCTTTCAAAGCAAGACTTCGCTGTGTATATTATACTTGTGGCAGCAAACTCAGGGTCACTCCTAAATACCTATTGCTGAGAGAAGCCTCCCCTTTAGGTGCTTGAGGAAAGTTGGCATACGACTTGAGTCTAAGCCAGGGAATCAGCTCTCATCTCGAGACGATTCAGGGTACACGGTGCATTCCTCGAGTGGCTGTACTGAAGGTGGTATTCTTCTATACTTGGGACGGTGTTCTCAGGGAATCTCTGGACTTGCCTGAATTAAATCAGGAAATTGGTCTTGTTTGAATGGGAACGCAGGATGGCTCTGGAGTCAATGAAAGGGAATTGGTCCTCATCTAGAGTTGATTTGGTGTACAAGGAACTATTTCGTGTTGCTGGGGTGACTTCAGGGTCCCTCTAGCCTTGTGACAGTGATGTTGGGGACTCTCTCGATATCCACCAAGCAAGTCGAGGCTCCTTACATGTTTGATGGGGATCACACAGTTGTTCTGCAGGTAATGCAGGGGAATCCGGCCTCATCTCGCTTCCAGGGGGAAGTCTCATGGTTTTTCTCGAGTTACGGCGGGAACCTGTGTTATATTCTCGAGTTGCAGCAGGGATGACCCTTCAAAACTTCTGTTTGTTCAGCAAACTCAGGACTCCTGTTTAGTTACGAGGGACACCTCAGGATTCTCTTTGACGCGAGGCAGGGCAAAACCGACACTTCTCGAGGTGAGGGGGGAGGCCCAGGGTCCCTTTCCAGTAGCCGCAGGGATATTGGGATTCCTATCAATGTTCAACAGGAGTTAGGCATACCCATTCTTTGTCGGATTGAACTCCGGGTGCCTCTCGATGTGTCAAAACGATATGAGGCCTCCTTTCGAGATGAGAAGGTTACCAAGGCTTTCCCTATGGCCTCCACAGGAGATTGAGACATCGATTCACCTTGTGAGATGAAAGATGAGCCTGTATTCAATCTACTGCTAGCAAACCTGGCCTTCTTTCGAGTCAGGGCATCTCGGTGGATATTCCACTTCAGGCAACAAACTCAGGTTCCCTCCCACATACCTATTTCTGAGAGAGGCCTCCTCTTGCGGTGCGTGTGGATAGTTGGCCGACCTCTTCAGTCTAAGGCAGGGAGTCAGCTCGCATCTTGAGAGGATTCGGGGTACATGGAGCATCCTTCGAGTTGCTCGTTGAACTTGGTGTTCCTCTAGCGTTGGCGCGGTGTTCTCGGGGAATCTCTGGAGTTGCCTAAATGAAATCAAACCAATGGGCATGTTTGAAGGGGAATGCAGGATGGCTCTGAAGTCAATGCAGGGGATTCGGGCTTCATCTCTGGTTGATTTCGGGTACATGGAACTATTTCGCATTCTCCAGCGACCTCAGGTTCCCTCTAGATTTGTGACAGTGTTCTAGGGGACTGTCTCGAGATCCATCAAACCAGTCGAGGCTCCTTACATGTTTGATGGGATCGCGCAATTGCTCTGCATGCAATGAGGGTAATCGGGCCTCATCTCATTTCGAGGGGGAAGTCTCATGGTTTTTCTCGAGTTGCGGCGGTAAGCTGAGTTATATTCTCGAGTTATCGCGGGGATGACCTGGCAAAACTCTCGTTTGTTCAGCGACGTCAGGACACCTGTCTAGTAAAGAGGGACTCCTCAGGAATCTCTTCGAGGCTTGGAAGGGCAATAGAGATGTCTCTCGACGTGAGGCAGCAGACCAAGTGTCCCTGTCCGGTAGCCAAAGGATATTGGGATTCCTATCAATGTTCAAGAGGAGTCAGGCATCTGCACCTTTGGAAGCATTCATGTCCACGTGCCTCTCGAGGTGTCAAAGGGATGTGAGGCCTCCTGTCCAAATGAGTCGGGGCCTAAGGTCTTTCTCTAGGCTCTCCACAGAGGATTCAGACATCCCTTCACCTTGTGAGACGGAAGACGAGCCGTCATTCAAGCCACTGCAAGGAAATCAGGCCTTCTTTCCAGTCAGGGCATCTCGCTTTATATTCCACTTGAGGAAGCAAATTCAGAGTAATTTCCACATACCTTTTGCTGAGAGAAGCCTCTCTTGAGGTTCTTGTGGAAATTTGCCAAACCTCTTGAGTCTACGCCAGGGAATCAGCTCTCATCTCGAGAAGTTTCGGGGTACACAGAGCATTCCTCGAGTTGCTGTGCTGAACTTGGTGTTTCTCTAGACATGGGACGGTGTTCTCGGGGAATCTCTGGCATTGCCTAAGGGCAGTGAAGCCACTGGTATTGATTCACGGGGAATACGGGATGGCTCTGGAGTTAATGCAGGGGAATTGGGCCTCATCTCGAGTTGATTTTGGGTACATGGACGTTTTTCGCGTTGCTGGTGTGACCTCATGGTTCTTCTAGACTTCTGACAGTGATCTTGGGGACTCTCTCGAGATCCATCAAGCAAGAGGATGCTCCTTACCTGTTTGATGGGGATCACGCAATTGCTATGCATGCAATGCAGGGGAATCGGGCCTCATCTCGCTTCGAGGGGGAAGTCTCATGGTTGTTCTCGAGTTGCGGCGGGAACCCGGGGTATATACTCGAGGTACGGCGGGGATGGCCCTTCAGAACTCGTGTTTGTTCAGCGACGTCAGGCCTACTGCCTAGATACGAGGGACACCTCAGGAATTTCTTCGAGGCTTGGCAGGACAAAACTGATGCTTCTCGAGGTGAGGCGGGAGACCCAAGGTCGCTTTCCAGTAGACACAGGGATATTGGGATTCCTATCAATGTTCAATAGTAGTCAGGCTTCGTCACTTTTTGAAGCATTGTACTCTGCCAGCCTCTGAATGTGTCAAATGGATGTGAGGCCTCCTGTCGAGATGAAGCGGGGAACTAGGGCTTTCTCTACGATCCCCACAGAGGATTCAGACATCCCTTCACCTTCTGAGACGAAAGACGATCCTGCATTCAAGCCACTGCAAGGGAATCTTGCCTTTTTTAAAGGCAAGACTTTGCTGTGTATATTATACTTGTGGCAGAAAACTCAGGGTCACTACTAAATACCTATTGCTGAGAGAAGCCTCCTCTTGAAGTGCTTGAGGAAAGTTGGCTTACGTCTTGAGTCTAAGCCAGGGAATCAGCTCTCATCTCGTGCCGATACAGGGATCACGGTGCATTCCTCGAGTGGCTATACTGAAGGTGGTATTCTTCTATACTTGGGACGGTGTTCTCAGGGAATCTCTGGATTTGCCTGAATTAAATCAAGAAATTGGTCTTGTTTGAATGGGAACGCAGGATGGCTCTGGAGTCAATGAATGGTATTGGTCCTCATCTAGAGTTGATTTCGTTTACAGGGAACTATTTTGTGTTGCTGGGGTGACCTCAGGGTCCCTCTAGTCTTGTGACAGTTATCTTGGGGACTCTATCGAGATCCATCAAGCAAGTCGAGGCTCCTTACATGTTTGATGGGGATCACACAGTTGTTCTGCATGCAATGCAGGGGAATCCGGCCTCATCTCGGTTCCAGGGGGAAGTCTCATGGTTTTTCTCGAGTTACGGTGGGAACCTGTGATATATTCTCGAGTTGCAGCGGGGATGGCCCTTCAAAACTTGTGTTTGTTCAGCAAAGTCAGGACTCCTGTCTAGTTACGAGGGACACCTCACGAATCTCTTTGACGCGAGTCAGGGCAAAACGGACACTTCTCGAGGTGAGGGGGAAGGCCCAGTGTCCCTTTCCAGTAGCCGAAGGATATTGGGATTCCTATCAATGTTCAATAGTAGTCAGGCTTCGTCAGTTTTTGAAGCATTGTACTCTGCCAGCCTCTGAATGTGTCAAATGGATGTGAGGCCTCCTGTCGAGATGAGGCGGGGAACTAGGGCTTTCTCTACGATCCCCACAGAGGATTCAGACATCCCTTCACCTTCTGAGACGAAAGACGATCCTACTTTCAAGCCACTGCAAGGGAAACTTGCCTTCTTTCAAGGCAAGACTTCGCTGTGTATATTATACTTGTGGCAGCAAACTCAGGGTCACTCCTAAATACCTATTGGTGAGAAGCCTCCCCTTTAGGTGCTTGAGGAACGTTGGCATACGACTTGAGTCTAAGCCAGGGAATCAGCTCTCATCTCGAGACAATTCAGGGTACACGGTGCATTCCTCGAGTGGCTGTACTGAAGGTGGTATTCTTCTATACTTGGGACGGTGTTCTCAGGGAATCTCTGGACTTGCCTGAATTAAATCAGGAAATTGGTCTTGTTTGAATGGGAACGCAGGATGGCTCTGGAGTCAATGAAGGGGAATTGGTCCTCATCTAGAGTTGATTTGGTGTACAGGGAACTATTTTGTGTTGCTGGGGTGACCTCAGGGTCCCTCTAGCCTTGTGACAGTGATGTTGGGGACTCTCTCGAGATCCACCAAGCAAGTCGAGGCTCCTTACATGTTTGATGGGGATCACACAGTTGTTCTGCAGGCAATGCAGGGGAATCCGGCCTCATCTCGCTTCCAGGGGGAAGTCTCATGGTTTTTCTCGAGTTACGGCGGGAACCTGTGTTATATTCCCGAGTTGCAGCAGGGATGGCCCTTCAAAACTTCTGTTTGTTCAGCAAACTCAGGACTCCTGTTTAGTTACGAGGGAGACCTCAGGATTCTCTTTGACGCGAGGCAGGGCAAAACGGACACTTCTCGAGGTGAGGGGGGAGGCCCAGGGTCCCTTTCCAGTAGCCGCAGGGATATTGAGATTCCTATCAATGTTCAACAGGAGTTAGGCATACCCATTCTTTGTCGGATTGAACTCCGGGTGCCTCTCGATGTGTCAAAAGGATATGAGGCCTCCTTTCGAGATGAGAAGGTTACCAAGGCTTTCCCTATGGCCTCCACAGGAGATTGAGACATCGATTCACCTTGTGAGATGAAAGATGAGCCTGTATTCAATCTACTGCTAGCAAACCCGGCCTTCTTTCGAGTCAGGGCATCTCGGTGGATATTCCACTTCAGGCAGCAAACTCAGGTTCCCTCCCACATACCTATTTCTGAGAGAGGCCTCCTCTTGAGGTGTGTGTGGATAGTTGGCCTACCTCTTCAGTCTAAGCCAGGGAGTCAGCTCGCATCTTGAGAGGATTCGGGGTACATGGAGCATCCTTCGAGTTGCTCGTTGAACTTGGTGTTCCTCTAGAGTTGGCGTGGTGTTCTCGGGGAATCTCTGGAGTTGCCTAAATGAAATCAAACCAATGGGCATGTTTGAAGGGGAATGCAGGATGGCTCTGAAGTCAATGCAGGGGATTCGGGCCTCATCTCTGGTTGATTTCGGGTACACGGATCTATTTCGCATTCTCCGGTGACCTCAGGGTCCCTCTAGGCTTGTGACAGTGTTCTTGTGGACTGTCTCGAGATGCATCAAGCAAGTCGAGGCTCCTTGCATCTTTGATGGGGATCACGCAGTTGTTCTGCATGCAATGCAGGGGAATCCGGCGTCATCTCGCTTCCAGGGGAAGTCTCATGGTTTTTCTCGAGTGGCGGCGGGAACCTGTGTTATATTTTCGAGTTGCAGCGGGGATGGCCCTTCAAAACTTGTGTTTGTTCAGGGACGTCAGGACCCCTATCTAGTTACGAGTGACAGCTCAGGAATCTCTTCGACGCTTGACAGGGCAAAACGGACATTTCTCGAGTTGAAGCGGGAGGCCCAGTGTCCCTTTCCAGTAGCCGCAGGGATATTGGGATTCCTATCAATGTTCAAGACGAGTCAGGATTTGTCAGCTTTTGAAGCACTGAACTCCGCTTGCCTCTGTAGGTGTCAAGGGGATGTTACGCCTCCTGTCGAGATGCAGCAGGGATCTAGGTCTTTCTCTAGGGTCTCCAGAGCAGATTCAAACATCCGTACACCTTGTGAGATGAAAGACGAGACTGCATTCAAGCCACTGCAAGGAAATCCGGCCGTCTTTCGAGTGAGGGCTTCTCGGTGTATATTTCACTTGAGTTAGCAAACTCCGGGTTCCTCCCTCTTACCTATTGCTGAGAGAAGCCTCCTCTTGAGGTGCTTGTGGAAACTTGGCCTACCTCTTGAGTCTAAGCCAGGGAATCAGCTCTCATCTCGAGACGATTTGGGATACACGGAGCATTACTCGAGTTGTTGTGCTGAACTTAGTGTTCCTCCACACTTGGGACGGTGTTCTCAGGGAATCTCTGGAGTTGCCTAAAAGATGTCAAGCCACAGGTTGTGTTTTCTGCGGAAAGTGGGATGGCTCTGGAGTCAATGCAGGGAAATCGGGCCTCATATTGAGTTGATCTGGGGTACACGGGGCTATTTCACGTTGCTGGGGTGACCTCAGGTTCCCTCTAGATTTGTGACAGTGTTCTAGGGGACTGTCTCGAGATCCATCAAACCAGTCGAGGCTCCTTACATGTTTGATGGGGATCGTGCAATTGCTCTGCATGCAATGAGGGTAATCGGGCCTCATCTCACTTCGAGGGGGAAGTCTCATGGTTTTTCTCGAGTTGCGGCGGTAAGCTGAGTTATATTCTCGAGTTATCGCGGGGATGACCTGGCAAAACTCTCGTTTGTTCAGCGACGTCAGGACTCCTGTCTAGTAAAGAGGGACTCCTCAGGAATCTCTTCGAGGCTTGGCAGGGCAATAGGGATGCTTCTCGACGTGAGGCAGCAGACCAAGGGTCCCTGTCCGGTAGCCAAAGGATATTGGGATTCCTATCAATGTTCAAGAGGTGTCAGGCATCTGCACCTTTGGAAGCATTCATGTCCACGTGCCTCTCGAGATGTCAAAGGGATGTGAGGCCTCCTGTCGAGATGAGTCGGGGCCTAAGGTCTTTCTCTAGGCTCTCCACAGAGGATTCAGACATCCCTTCACCTTGTGAGACGGAAGACGAGCCGTCATTCAAGCCACTGCAAGGAAATCAGGCCTTCTTTCCAGTCAGGGCATCTCGGTTTCTATTCCACTTGAGGAAGCAAATTCAGAGTAATTTCCACATACCTTTTGCTGAGAGAAGCCTCTCTTGAGGTTCTTGTGGAAAGTTGCCAAACCTCTTGAGTCTACGCCAGGGAATCAGCTCTCATCTCGAGAAGTTTCGGGGTACACAGAGCATTCCTCGAGTTGCTGTGCTGAACTTGGTGTTTCTCTAGACATTGGACGGTGTTCTCAGGGAATCTCTGGCATTGCCTAAGGGCAGTGAAGCCACTGGTATTGATTCACGGGGAATACGGGATGGCTCTGGAGTTAATGCAGGGGAATTGGGCCTCATCTCGAGTTGATTTTGGGTACATGGACGTTTTTCGTGTTGCTGGTGTGACCTCATGGTTCTTCTAGACTTCTGACAGTGATCTTGGGGACTCTCTCGAGATCCATCAAGCAAGCGGATGCTCCTTACCTGTTTGATGGGGATCACGCAATTGCTATGCATGCAATGCAGGGGAATCGGGCCTCATCTCGCTTCGAGGGGGAAGTCTCATGGTTGTTCTCGAGTTGCGGCGGGAACCCGGGGTATATACACGAGGTAGGGCGGGGACGGCCCTTCAGAACTCGTGTTTGTTCAGCGACGTCAGGCCTACTGCCTAGATACGAGGGACACCTCAGGAATTTCTTCGAGGCTTGGCAGGGCAAAACTGATGCTTCTCGAGGTGAGGCGGGAGACCCAAGGTCGCTTTCCAGTAGACACAGGGATATTGGGATTCCTATCAATGTTCAATAGTAGTCAGGCTTCGTCACTTTTTGAAGCATTGTACTCTGCCAGCCTCTGAATGTGTCAAATGGATGTGAGGCCTCCTGTCGAGATGAGGCGGGGAACTAGGGCTTTCTCTACGATCCCCACAGAGGATTCAGACATCCCTTCACCTTCTGAGACGAAAGACGATCCTGCATTCAAGCCACTGCAAGGGAATCTTGCCTTTTTTAAAGGCAAGACTTCGCTGTGTATATTATACTTGTGGCAGAAAACTCAGGGTCACTACTAAATACATATTGCTGAGAGAAGCCTCCTCTTGAAGTGCTTGAGGAAAGTTGGCATACGTCTTGAGTCTAAGCCAGGGAATCAGCTCTCATCTCGTGACGATACAGGGATCACGGTGCATTCCTCGAGTGGCTGTACTGAAGGTGGTATTCTTCTATACTTGGGACGGTGTTCTCAGGGAATCTCTGGACTTGCCTGAATTAAATGAAGAAATTGGTCTTGTTTGAATGGGAACGCAGGATGGCTCTGGAGTCAATGAAGGGTATTGGTCCTCATCTAGAGTTGATTTGGTTTACAGGGAACTATTTCGTTTTGCTGGTGTGACCTCAGGGTCCCTCTAGCCTTGTGACAGTTATCTTGGGGACTCTATCGAGATCCATCAAGCAAGTCGAGGCTCCTTACATGTTTGATGGGGATCACACAGTAGTTCTGCATGCAATGCAGGGGAATCCGGCCTCATCTCGGTTCCAGGGGGAAGTCTCATGGTTTTTCTCGAGTTGCGGCGGGAACCTGTGTTATATTCTCGAGTTGCAGCGGGGATGGCCCTTCAAAACTTCTGTTTGTTCAGCAAACTCAGGACTCCTGTTTACTTACGAGGGACACCTCAGTATTCTCTTTGACGCGAGGCAGGGCAAAACGGACACTTCTCGAGGTGAGGGGGGAGGCCCAGGGTCCCTTTCCAGTAGCCGCAGGGATATTGGGATTCCTTTCAATGTTCAACAGGAGTTAGGCATCCTCATTCTTTGTCGGATTGAACTCCGGGTGCCTCTCGATGTGTCAAAAGGATATGAGGCCTCCTTTCGAGATGAGAAGGTTACCAAGGCTTTCCCTATGGCCTCCACAGGAGATTGAGACATCGATTCACCTTGTGAGATGAAAGATGAGCCTGTATTCAATCTACTGCTAGCAAACCTGGCCTTCATTCGAGTCAGGGCATCTCGGTGGATATTCCACTTCAGGCAGGAAAATCAGGTTCCCTCCCATATACGTATTTCTGAGAGAGGCCTCCTCTTGAGGTGCGTGTGGATAGTTGGCCTACCTCTTGAGTCTAAGCCAGGGAGTCAGCTCGCATCTTGAGAGGATTCGGGGTACATGGAGCATCCTTCGAGTTGCTCGTTGAACTTGGTGTTCCTCTAGTGTTGGCGCGGTGTTCTCGGGGAATCTCTGGAGTTGCCTAAATGAAATCAAACCAATGGGCATGTTTGAAGGGGAATGCAGGATGGCTCTGAAGTCAATGCAGGGGATTCGGGCCTCATCTCTGGTTGATTTCGGGTACACGGAACTATTTCGCATTCTCCGGTGACCTCAGGGTCCCTCTAGGCTTGTGACAGTGTTCTTGTGGACTGTCTCGAGATGCATCAAGCAAGTCGAGGCTCCTTGCATCTTTGATGGGGATCACGCAGTTGTTCTGCATGCAACGCAGGGGAATCCGGCGTCATCTCGCTTCCAGGGGAAGTCTCATGGTTTTTCTCGAGTGGCGGCGGGAACCTGTGTTATATTCTCGAGTTACAGCGGGGATAGACCTTAAAAATTGTGTTTGTTCAGGGACATCAGGACCCCTATCTAGTTCCGCGTGACACCTCAGGAATCTCTTCGACGCTTGACAGGGCAAAACGGACATTTCTCGAGGTGAAGCGCGAGGCCCAGTATCCCTTTCCAGTAGCCGCAGGGATATTGGGATTCCTATCAATGTTCAAGACGAGTCAGGCTTTGTCAGCTTTTGAAGCACTGAACTCCGCTTGCCTCTGTAGGTGTCAAGGGGATGTTAGGCCTCCTGTCGAGATGCAGCAGGGATCTAGGTCTTTCTCTAGGGTCTCCAGAGGGGATTCAGACATCCGTACACCTTGTGAGATGAAAGACGAGACTGCATTCAAGCCACTGCAAGGAAATACAGCCTTCTTTCGAGTGAGGGCTTCTCGGTGTATATTCCACTTGAGTTAGCAAACTCCGGGTTCCTCCCTCTTACCTATTGCTGAGAGAAGCCTCCTCTTGAGGTGCTTGTGGAAACTTGGCCTACCTCTTGAGTCTAAGCCAGGGAATCAGCTCTCATCTCGAGACGATTTGGGATACACGGAGCATTACTCGAGTTGTTTTACTGAACTTAGTGTTCCTCGAGACTTGGGACGGTGTTCTCAGGGAATCTCTGGAGTTGCCTAAAGGATGTCAAGCCACAGGTCGTGTTTTCTGGGGAATGTGGGATGGCTCTGGAGTCAATGCAGGGAAATTGGTCCTCATCTTGAGTTGATCTGGGGTACACGGGGCTATTTCACGTTGCTGGGGTGACCTCAGGTTCCCTCTAGACTTGTGACAGTGTTCTAGGGGACTGTCTCGAGATCCATCAAACCAGTCGAGGCTCCTTACATGTTTGAAGCGGATCGCGCAATTGCTCTGCATGCAATGAGGGTAATCGGGCCTCATTTCACTTCGAGGGGGAAGTCTCATGGTTTTTCTCGAGTTGCGGCGGTAAGCTGAGTTATATTCTCGAGTTATCGCGGGGATGACCTGGCAAAACTCTCGTTTGTTCAGCGACGTCAGGACTCCTGTCTAGTAAAGAGGGACTCCTCAGGAATCTCTTCGAGGCTTGGCAGGGCAATAGGGATGCTTCTCGACGTGAGGCAGCAGACCAAGGGTCCCTGTCGGGTAGCCAAAGGATATTGGGATTCCTATCAATGTTCAACAGGAGTCAGGCATTTGCACCTTTGGAAGCATTCATCTCCACGTGCCTCTCAAGGTGCAAAAGGGATGTGAGGCCTCCTGTCGAGATGAGTCGTGGCCCAAGGTCTTTCTCTAGGCTCTCCACAGAGGATTCAGACATCCCTTCACCTTGTGAGATGGAAGACGAGCCGTCATTCAAGCCACTGCAAGGAAATCAGGCCTTCTTTCCAGTCAGGGCATCTCGGTTTCTATTCCACTTGAGGAAGCAAATTCAGAGTAATTTCCACATACCTTTTGCTCTGAGAAGCCTCTCTTGAGGTTCTTGTGGAAAGGTGCCAAACCTCTTGAGTCTACGCCAGGGAATCAGCTCTCATCTCGAGAAGTTTCGGGGTACACAGAGCATTCCTCGAGTTGCTGTGCTGAACTTGGTGTTTCTCTAGACATGGGACGGTGTTCTCGGGGAATCTCTGGCATTGCCTAAGGGCAGTGAAGCCATTGGTATTGATTCACGGGGAATACGGGATGGATCTGGAGTTAATGCAGGGGAATTGGGCCTCATCTCGAGTTGATTTTGGGTACATGGACGTTTTTGGCGTTGCTGGTGTGACCTCATGGTTCTTCTAGACTTCTGACATTGATCTTGAAGACTCTCTCGAGATCCATCAAGCAAGAGGATGCTCCTTACCTGTTTGATGGGGATCACGCAATTGCTATGCATGCAATGCAGGGGAATCGGGCCTCATCTCGCTTCGAGGGTGAAGTCTCATGGTTGTTCTCGAGTTGCGGCGGGAACCTGGGGTATATACTCGAATTACGGCGGGGATGGCCCTTCAGAACTCGTGTTTGTTCAGCGACGTCAGGCCTACTGCCTAGATTCGAGGGACACCTCAGGAATTTCTTCGAGGCTTGGCAGGGCAAAACTGATGCTTCTCGAGGTGAGGCGGGAGACCCAAGGTCGCTTTCCAGTAGACACAGGGATATTGGGATTCCTATCAATGTTCAATAGTAGTCAGGCTTCGTCACTTTTTGAAGCATTGTACTCTGCCAGCCTCTGAATGTGTCAAATGGATGTGAGGCCTCCTGTCGAGATGAGGCGGGGAACTAGGGCTTTCTCTACGATCCCCACAGAGGATTCAGATATCCCTTCACCTTCTGAGACAAAAGACGATCCTGCATTCAAGCCACTGCAAGGGAAACTTGCCTTCTTTCAAAGCAAGACTTCGCTGTGTATATTATACTTGTGGCAGCAAACTCAGGGTCACTCCTAAATACCTATTGCTGAGAGAAGCCTCCCCTTTAGGTGCTTGAGGAAAGTTGGCATACGACTTGAGTCTAAGCCAGGGAATCAGCTCTCATCTCGAGATGATTCAGGGTACACGGTGCATTCCTCGAGTTGCTGTACTGAAGGTGGTATTCTTCTATACTTGGGACGGTGTTCTCAGGGAATCTCTACACTTGCCTGAATTAAATCAGGAAATTGGTCTTGTTTGAATGGGAACGCAGGATGGCTCTGGAGTCAATGAAGGGGAATTGGTCCTCATCTAGAGTTGATTTGGTGTACAGGGAACTATTTCGTGTTGCTGGGGTGACCTCAGGGTCCCTCTAGCCTTGTGACAGTGATGTTGGGGACTCTCTCAAGATCCACCAAGCAAGTCGAGGCTCCTTACATGTTTGATGGGGATCACACAGTTGTTCTGCAGGCAATGCAGGGGAATCCGGCCTCATCTCGCTTCCAGGGGGAAGTCTCATGGTTTTTCTCGAGTTACGGCGGGAACCTGTGTTATATTCTCGAGTTGCAGCAGGGATGGCCCTTCAAAACTTCTGTTTGTTCAGCAAACTCAGGACTCCTGTTTAGTTACGACGGACACCTCAGGATTCTCTTTGACGCGAGGCAGGGCAAAACGGACACTTCTCGAGGTGAGGGGGGAGGCCCAGGGTCCCTTTCCAGTAGCCGCAGGGTTATTGGGATTCCTATCAATGTTCAACAGGAGTTAGGCATCCCCATTCTTTGCCGGATTGAACTCCGGGTGCCTTTCGATGTGTCAAAAGGATATGAGGCCTCCTTTCGAGATGAGAAGGTTACCAAGGCTTTCCCTATGGCCTCCACAGGAGATTGAGACATCGATGCACCTTGTGAGATGAAAGATGAGCCTGTATTCAATCTACTGCTAGCAAACCCGGCCTTCTTTCGTGTCAGGGCATCTCGGTGGATATTCCACTTCAGGCAGCAAACTCAGGTTCCCTCCCACATACCTATTTCTGAGAGAGGCCTCCTCTTGCAGTGCGTGTGGATAGTTGGCCTACCTCTTCAGTCTAAGCCAGGGAGTCAGCTCGCATCTTGAGAGGATTCGGGGTACATGGAGCATCCTTCGAGTTGCTCGTTGAACTTGTTGTTCCTCTAGCGTTGGCGCGGTGTTCTCGGGGAATCTCTGGAGTTGCCTAAATGAAATCAAACCAACGGGCATGTTTGAAGGAGAATGCAGGATGGCTCTGAAGTCAATGCAGGGGATTCGGGCCTCATCTCTGGTTGATTTCGGGTACACGGAACTATTTCGCATTCTCCGGTGACCTCAGGGTTCCTCTAGGCTTGTGACAGTGTTCTTGTGGACTCTCTCGAGATGCATCAAGCAAGTCGAGGCTCCTTGCATCTTTGATGGGGATCACGCAGTTGTTCTGCATGCAATGCAGGGGAATCCGGCGTCATCTCGCTTCCAGGGGAAGTCTCATGGTTTTTCTCGAGTGGCGGCGGGAACCTGTGTTATATTCTCGAGTTGCAGCGGGGATGGCCCTTCAAAACTTGTGTTTGTTCAGGGACGTCAGGACCCCTGTCTAGTTACGAGTGACACCTCAGGAATCTCTTCGACGCTTGACAGGGCAAAACGGACATTTCTCGAGGTGAAGCGGGAGGCCCAGTGTCCCTTTCCAGTAGCCGCAGGGATATTGGGATTCCTATCAATGTTCAAGACGAGTCAGGATTTGTCAGCTTTTGAAGCACTGAACTCCGCTTAGCTCTGTAGGTGTCAAGGGGATGTTAGGCCTCCTGTCGAGATGCAGCAGGGATCTAGGTCTTTCTCTAGGGTCTCCAGAGGGGATTCAGACATCCGTACACTTTGTGAGATGAAACACGAGACTGCATTCAAGCCACTGCAAGGAAATCCAGCCGTCTTTCGAGTGAGGGCTTCTCGGTGTATATTCCACTTGAGTTAGCAAACTCCGGGTTCCTCCCTCTTACCTATTGCTGAGAGAAGCCTCCTCTTGAGGTGCTTGTGGAAACTTGGCCTACCTCTTGAGTCTAAGCCAGGGAATCAGCTCTCATCTCGAGACGATTTGGGATACACGGAGCATTACTCGAGTTGTTGTGCTGAACTTAGTGTTCCTCCACACTTGGGACGGTGTTCTCAGGGAATCTCTGGAGTTCCCTAAAAGATGTCAAGCCACAGGTCGTGTTTTCGGGGGAACGTGGGATGGCTCTGGAGCCAATGCAGGGAAATCGGGCCTCATCTTGAGTTGATCTGGGGTACACGGGGCTATTTCACGTTGCTGGGGTGACCTCAGGTTCCCTCTAGATTTGTGACAGTGTTCTAGGGGACTGTCTCGAGATCCATCAAACCAGTCGAGGCTCCTTACATGTTTGATGGGGATCGCGCAATTGCTCTGCATGCAATGAGGGTAATCGGGCCTCATCTCACTTCGAGGGGGAAGTCTCATGGTTTTTCTCGAGTTGCGGCGGTAAGCTGAGTTATATTCTCGAGTTATCGTGGGGATGACCTGGCAAAACTCCGGTTTGTTCAGCGACGTCAGGACTCCTGTCTAGTAAAGAGGGACTCCTCAGGAATCTCTTCGAGGCTTGGCAGGGCAATAGGAATGCTTCTCGACGTGAGGCAGCAGACCAAGGGTCCCTGTCCGGTAGCCAAAGGATATTGGGATTCCTATCAATGTTCAAGAGGAGTCAGGCATCTGCACCTTTGGAAGCATTCATGTCCCCGTGCCTCTCGAGGTGTCAAAGGGATGTGAGGCCTCCTGTCGAGATGAGTCGGGGCCTAAGGTCTTTCTCTAGGCTCTCCACAGAGGATTCAGACATCCCTTCACCTTGTGAGACGGAAGACGAGCCGTCATTCAAGCCACTGCAAGGAAATCAGGCCTTCTTTCCAGTCAGGGCATCTCGGTTTATATTCCACTTGAGGAAGCAAATTCAGAGTAATTTCCACATACCTTTTGCTGAGAGAAGCCTCTCTTGAGGTCCTTGTGGAAAGTTGCCAAACCTCTTGAGTCTACGCCAGGGAATCAGCTCTCATCTCGAGAAGTTTCGGGGTACACAGAGCATTCCTCGAGTTGCTGTGCTGAACTTGGTGTTTCTCTAGACATGGGACGGTGTTCTCGGCGAATCTCTTACATTGCCTAAGGGCAGTGAAGCCACTGGTATTGATTCACCGGGAATACGGGATGGCTCTGGAGTTAATGCAGGGGAATTGGGCCTCATCTCGAGTTGATTTTGGGTACATGGACGTTTTTCGCGTTGCTGGTGTGACCTCATGGTTCTTCTAGACTTCTGACAGTGATCTTGGGGACTCTCTCGAGATCCATCAAGCAAGAGGATGCTCCTTACCTGTTTGATGGGGATCACGCAATTGCTATGCATGCAATGCAGGGGAATCGGGCCTCATCTCGCTTCGAGGGGGAAGTCTCATGGTTGTTCTCGAGTTGCGGCGGGAACCTGGGGTATATACTCGAATTACGGCGGGGATGGCCCTTCTGAACTCGTGTTTGTTCAGCGACGTCAGGCCTACTGCCTAGATACGAGGGACACCTCAGGAATTTCTTCGAGGCTTGGCAGGGCAAAACTGATGCTTCTCGAGGTGAGGCGGGAGACCCAAGGTCGCTTTCCAGTAGACACAGGGATATTGGGATTCCTATCAATGTTCAATAGTAGTCAGGCTTCGTCACTTTTTGAAGCATTATACTCTGCCAGCCTCTGAATGTGTCAAATGGATGTGAGGCCTCCTGTCGAGATGAGGCGGGGAACTAGGGCTTTCTCTACGATCCCCACAGAGGATTCAGACATCCCTTCACCTTCTCAGATGAAAGACGATCCTGCATTCAAGCCACTGCAAGGGAATCTTGCCTTTTTTAAAGGCAAGACTTCGCTGTGTATATTATACTTGCGGCAGAAAACTCAGGGTCACTACTAAATACCTATTGCTGAGAGAAGCCTCCTCTTGAAGTGCTTGAGGAAAGTTGGCATACGTCTTGAGTCTAAGCCAGGGAATCAGCTCTCATCTCGTGAAGATACAGGGATCACGGTGCATTCCTCAAGTGGCTGTACTGAAGGTGGTATTCTTCTATACTTGGGACGGTGCTCTCAGGGAATCTCTGGACTTGCCTGAATTAAATGAAGAAATTGGTCTTGTTTGAATGGGAACGCAGGATGGCTCTGGAGTCAATGAAGGGTATTGGTCCTCATCTAGAGTTGATTTGGTGTACAGGGAACTATTTCGTGTTGCTGGGGTGACCTCAGGGTCCCTCTAGCCTTGTGACAGTGATGTTGGGGACTCTCTCGAGATCCACCAAGCAAGTCGAGGCTCCTTACATGTTTGATGGGGATCACACAGTTTTTCTGCAGGCAATGCAGGGGAATCCGGCCTCATCTCGCTTCCAGGGGGAAGTCTCATGGTTTTTCTCGAGTTGCGGCGGGAACCTGTGTTATATTCTCGAGTTGCAGCGGGGATGGCCCTTCAAAACTTCTCTTTGTTCAGCAAACTCAGGACTCCTGTTTAGTTACGAGGGACACCTCAGGATTCTCTTTGACGCGAGGCAGGGCAAAACGGACACTTCTCGAGGTGAGGGGGGAGGCCCAAGGTCCCTTTCCAGTAGCCGCAGGGATATTGGGATTCCTTTCAATGTTCAACAGGAGTTAGGCATCCCCATTCTTTGTCGGATTGAACTCCGGGTGCCTCTCGATGTGTCAAAAGGATATGAGGCCTCCTTTCGAGATGAGAAGGTTACCAAGGCTTTCCCTATGGCCTCCACAGGAGATTGAGACATCGATTCACCTTGTGAGATGAAAGATGAGCCTGTATTCAATCTACTGCTAGCAAACCTGGCCTTCATTCGAGTCAGGGCATCTCGGTGGATATTCAACTTCAGGCAGGAAAATCAGGTTCCCTCCCATATACGTATTTCTGAGAGAGGCCTCCTCTTGAGGTGAGTGTGGATAGTTGGCCTACCTCTTGAGTCTAAGCCAGGGAGTCAGCTCGCATCTTGAGAGGATTCGGGGTACATGGAGCATCCTTCGAGTTGCTCGTTGAACTTGGTGTTCCTCTAGTGTTGGCGCGGTGTTCTCGGGGAATCTCTGGAGTTGCCTAAATGAAATCAAACCAATGGGCATGTTTGAAGGGGAATGCAGGATGGCTCTGAAGTCAATGCAGGGGATTCGGGCCTCATCTCTGGTTGATTTCGGGTACACGGAACTATTTCGCATTCTCCGGTGACCTCAGGGTCCCTCTAGGCTTGTGACAGTGTTCTTGTGGACTGTCTCGAGATGCATCAAGCAAGTCGAGGCTCCTTGCATCTTTGATGGGGATCACGCAGTTGTTCTGCATGCAACGCAGGGGAATCCGGCGTCATCTCGCTTCCAGGGGAAGTCTCATGGTTTTTCTCGAGTGGCGGCGGGAACCTGTGTTATATTCTCGAGTTACAGCGGGGATGGACCTTAAAAATTGTGTTTGTTCAGGGACGTCAGGACCCCTATCTAGTTCCGCGTGACACCTCAGGAATCTCTTCGACGCTTGACAGGGCAAAACGGACATTTCTCGAGGTGAAGCGCAAGGCCCAGTATCCCTTTCCAGTAGCCGCAGGGATATTGGGATTCCTATCAATGTTCAAGACGAGTCAGGCTTTGTCAGCTTTTGAAGCACTGAACTCCGCTTGCCTCTGTAGGTTTCAAGGGGATGTTACGCCTCCTGTCGAGATGCAGCAGGGATCTAGGTCTTTCTCTAGGGTCTCCAGAGGGGATTCAGACATCCGTACACCTTGTGAGATGAAAGACGAGACTGCATTCAAGCCACTGCAAGGAAATACAGCCTTCTTTCGAGTGAGGGCTTCTCGGTGTATATTCCACTTGAGTTAGCAAACTCCGGGTTCCTCCCTCTTACCTATTGCTGAGAGAAGCCTCCTCTTGAGGTGCTTGTGGAAACTTGGCCTACCTCTTGAGTCTAAGCCAGGGAATCAGCTGTCATCTCGAGACGATTTGGGATACACGGAGCATTACTCGAGTTGTTGTGCTGAACTTAGTGTTCCTCGAGACTTGGGACGGTGTTCTCAGGGAATCTCTGGAGTTGCCTAAAGGATGTCAAGCCACAGGTCGTGTTTTCTGGGGAATGTGGGATGGCTCTGGAGTCAATGCAGGGAAATTGGTCCTCATCTTGAGTTGATCTGGGGTACACGGGGCTATTTCACGTTGCTGGGGTGACCTCAGGTTCCCTCTAGACTTGTGACAGTGTTCTAGGGGACTGTCTCGAGATCCATCAAACCAGTCGAGGCTCCTTACATGTTTGAAGCGGATCGCGCAATTGCTCTGCATGCAATGAGGGTAATCGGGCCTCATTTCACTTCGAGGGGGAAGTCTCATGGTTTTTCTCGAGTTGCGGCGGTAAGCTGAGTTATATTCTCGAGTTATCGCGGGGATGACCTGGCAAAACTCTCGTTTGTTCAGCGACGTCAGGACTCCTGTCTAGTAAAGAGGGACTCCTCAGGAATCTCTTCGAGGCTTGGCAGGGCAATAGGGATGCTTCTCGACGTGAGGCAGCAGACCAAGGGTCCCTGTCCGGTAGCCAAAGGATATTGGGATTCCTATCAATGTTCAAGAGGAGTCAGGCATTTGCACCTTTGGAAGCATTCATCTCCACGTGCCTCTCAAGGTGCAAAAGGGATGTGAGGCCTCCTGTCGAGATGAGTCGTGGCCCAAGGTCTTTCTCTAGGCTCTCCACAGAGGATTCAGACATCCCTTCACCTTGTGAGACGGAAGACGAGCCGTCATTCAAGCCACTGCAAGGAAATCAGGCCTTCTTTCCAGTCAGGGCATCTCGGTTTATATTCCACTTGAGGAAGCAAATTCAGAGTAATTTCCACATACCTTTTGCTCTGAGAAGCCTCTCTTGAGGTTCTTGTGGAAAGTTGCCAAACCTCTTGAGTCTACGCCAGGGAATCAGCTCTCATCTCGAGAAGTTTCGGGGTACACAGAGCATTCCTCGAGTTGCTGTGCTGAACTTGGTGTTTCTCTAGACATGGGACTGTGTTCTTGGGGAATCTCTGGCATTGCCTAAGGGCAGTGAAGCCATTGGTATTGATTCACGGGGAATACGGGATGGCTCTGGAGTTAATGCAGGGGAATTGGGCCTCATCTCGAGTTGATTTTGGGTACATGGACGTTTTTCGCGTTGCTGGTGTGACCTCATGGTTCTTCTAGACTTCTGACAGTGATCTTGGGGACTCTCTCGAGATCCATCAAGCAAGAGGATGCTCCTTACCTGTTTAATGGGGATCACGCAATTGCTATGCATGCAATGCAGGGGAATCGGGCCTCATCTCGCTTCGAGGGTGAAGTCTCATGGTTGTTCTCGAGTTGCGGCGGGAACCTGGGGTATATACTCGATGTACGGCGGGGATGGCCCTTCAGAACTCGTGTTTGTTCAGCGACGTCAGGCCTACTGCCTAGATACGAGGGACACCTCAGGAATTTCTTCGAGGCTTGGCAGGGCAAAACTGATGCTTCTCGAGGTGAGGCGGGAGACCCAAGGTCGCTTTCCAGTAGACACAGGGATATTGGGATTCCTATCAATGTTCAATAGTAGTCAGGCTTCGTCACTTTTTGAAGCATTGTACTCTGCCAGCCTCTGAATGTGTCAAATGGATGTGAGGCCTCCTGTCGAGATGAGGCGGGGAACTAGGGCTTTCTCTACGATCCCCACAGAGGATTCAGACATCCCTTCACCTTCTGAGACGAAAGACGATCCTGCATTCAAGCCACTGCAAGGGTAACTTGCCTTCTTTCAAGGCAAGACTTCGCTGTGTATATTATACTTGTGGCAGCAAACTCAGGGTCACTCCTAAATACCTATTGCTGAGAGAAGCCTCCCCTTTAGGTGCTTGAGGAAAGTTGGCATACGACTTGAGTCTAAGCCAGGGAATCAGCTCTCATCTCGAGACAATTCAGGGTACACGGTGCATTCCTCGAGTGGCTGTACTGAAGGTGGTATTTTTCTATACTTGGGACAGTGTTCTCAGGGAATCTCTGGACTTGCCTGAATTAAATCAGGAAATTGGTCTTGTTTGAATGGGAACACAGGATGGCTCTGGAGTCAATGAAGGGGAATTGGTCCTCATCTAGAGTTGATTTGGTGTACAGGGAACTATTTCGTGTTGCTGGGGTGACCTCAGGGTCCCTCTAGCCTTGTGACAGTGATGTTGGGGACTCTCTCGAGATCCACCAAGCAAGTCGAGGCTCCTTACATGTTTGATGGGGATCACACAGTTGTTCTGCAGGCAATGCAGGGGAATCCGGCCTCATCTCGCTTCCATGGGGAAGTCTCATGGTTTTTCTCGAGTTACGGCAGGAACCTGTGTTATATTCTCGAGATGCAGCAGGGATGGCCCTTCAAAAATTCTGTTTGTTCAGCAAACTCAGGACTCCTGTTTCGTTATGAGGGACACCTCAGGATTCTCATTGACGCGAGGCAGGGCAAAACGGACACTTCTCGAGGTGAAGCGCGTGGCCCAGTGTCCCTTTCCAGTAGCCGCAGGGATATTGGGATTCCTATCAATGTTCAACACGAGTCAGGCTTTGTCAGCTTTTGAAGCACTGAACTCCGCTTGCCTCTGTAGGTGTCAAGGGGATGTTAGGCCTCCTGTCGAGATGCAGCAGGGATCTACGTCTTTCTCTAGGGTCTCCAGAGGGGATTCAGACATCCGTACACCTTGTGAGATGAAAGACGAGACTGCATTCAAGCCACTGCAAGGAAATCCGGCCGTCTTTCGAGTGAGGGCTTCTCGGTTTATATTCTACTTGAGTTAGCAAACTCCGGGTTCCTCCCTCTTACCTATTGCTGAGAGAAGCCTCCTCTTGAGGTGCTTGTGGAAACTTGGCCTACCTCTTGAGTCTAAGCCAGGGAATCAGCTCTCATCTCGAGACGATTTGGGATACACGGAGCATTACTCGAGTTGTTGTGCTGAACTTAGTGTTCCTCCACACTTGGGACGGTGTTCTCAGGGAATCTCTGGAGTTGCCTAAAAGATGTCAAGCCACAGGTCGTGTTTTCGGGGGAACGTGGGATGGCTCTGGAGCCAATGCAGGGAAATCGGGCCTCATCTTGAGTTGATCTGGGGTACACGGGGCTATTTCACGTTGCTGGGGTGACCTCAGGTTCCCTCTAGATTTGTGACAGTGTTCTAGGGGACTGTCTCGAGATCCATCAAACCAGTCGAGGCTCCTTACATGTTTGATGGGGATCGCGCAATTGCTCTGCATGCAATGAGGGTAATCGGGCCTCATCTCACTTCGAGGGGGAAGTCTCATGGTTTTTCTCGAGTTGCGGCGGTAAGCTGAGTTATATTCTCGAGTTATCGTGGGGATGACCTGGCAAAACTCCCGTTTGTTCAGCGACGTCAGGACTCCTGTCTAGTAAAGAGGGACTCCTCAGGAATCTCTTCGAGGCTTGGCAGGGCAATAGGGATGCTTCTCGACGTGAGGCAGCAGACCAAGGGTCCCTGTCCGGTAGCCAAAGGATATTGGGATTCCTATCAATGTTCAAGAGGAGTCAGGCATCTGCACCTTTGGAAGCATTCATGTCCCCGTGCCTCTCGAGGTGTCAAAGGGATGTGAGGCCTCCTGTCGAGATGAGTCGGGGCCTAAGGTCTTTCTCTAGGCTCTGCACAGAGGATTCAGACATCCCTTCACCTTGTGAGACGGAAGACGAGCCGTCATTCAAGCCACTGCAAGGAAATCAGGCCTTCTTTCCAGTCAGGGCATCTCGGTTTATATTCCACTTGAGGAAGCAAATTCAGAGTAATTTCCACATACCTTTTGCTGAGAGAAGCCTCTCTTGAGGTCCTTGTGGAAAGTTGCCAAACCTCTTGAGTCTACGCCAGGGAATCAGCTCTCATCTCGAGAAGTTTCGGGGTACACAGAGCATTCCTCGAGTTGCTGTGCTGAACTTGGTGTTTCTCTAGACATGGGACGGTGTTCTCGGCGAATCTCTTACATTGCCTAAGGGCAGTGAAGCCACTGGTATTGATTCACCGGGAATACGGGATGGCTCTGGAGTTAATGCAGGGGAATTGGGCCTCATCTCGAGTTGATTTTGGGTACATGGACGTTTTTCGCGTTGCTGGTGTGACCTCATGGTTCTTCTAGACTTCTGACAGTGATCTTGGGGACTCTCTCGAGATCCATCAAGCAAGAGGATGCTCCTTACCTGTTTGATGGGGATCACGCAATTGCTATGCATGCAATGCAGGGGAATCGGGCCTCATCTCGCTTCGAGGGGGAAGTCTCATGGTTGTTCTCGAGTTGCGGCGGGAACCTGGGGTATATACTCGAATTACGGCGGGGATGGCCCTTCTGAACTCGTGTTTGTTCAGCGACGTCAGGCCTACTGCCTAGATACGAGGGACACCTCAGGAATTTCTTCGAGGCTTGGCAGGGCAAAACTGATGCTTCTCGAGGTGAGGCGGGAGACCCAAGGTCGCTTTCCAGTAGACACAGGGATATTGGGATTCCTATCAATGTTCAATAGTAGTCAGGCTTCGTCACTTTTTGAAGCATTATACTCTGCCAGCCTCTGAATGTGTCAAATGGATGTGAGGCCTCCTGTCGAGATGAGGCGGGGAACTAGGGCTTTCTCTACGATCCCCACAGAGGATTCAGACATCCCTTCACCTTCTCAGATGAAAGACGATCCTGCATTCAAGCCACTGCAAGGGAATCTTGCCTTTTTTAAAGGCAAGACTTCGCTGTGTATATTATACTTGCGGCAGAAAACTCAGGGTCACTACTAAATACCTATTGCTGAGAGAAGCCTCCTCTTGAAGTGCTTGAGGAAAGTTGGCATACGTCTTGAGTCTAAGCCAGGGAATCAGCTCTCATCTCGTGAAGATACAGGGATCACAGTGCATTCCTCAAGTGGCTGTACTGAAGGTGGTATTCTTCTATACTTGGGACGGTGCTCTCAGGGAATCTCTGGACTTGCCTGAATTAAATGAAGAAATTGGTCTTGTTTGAATGGGAACGCAGGATGGCTCTGGAGTCAATGAAGGGTATTGGTCCTCATCTAGAGTTGATTTGGTGTACAGGGAACTATTTCGTGTTGCTGGGGTGACCTCAGGGTCCCTCTAGCCTTGTGACAGTGATGTTGGGGACTCTCTCGAGATCCACCAAGCAAGTCGAGGCTCCTTACATGTTTGATGGGGATCACACAGTTTTTCTGCAGGCAATGCAGGGGAATCCGGCCTCATCTCGCTTCCAGGGGGAAGTCTCATGGTTTTTCTCGAGTTGCGGCGGGAACCTGTGTTATATTCTCGAGTTGCAGCGGGGATGGCCCTTCAAAACTTCTGTTTGTTCAGCAAACTCAGGACTCCTGTTTAGTTACGAGGGACACCTCAGGATTCTCTTTGACGCGAGGCAGGGCAAAACGGACACTTCTCGAGGTGAGGGGGGAGGCCCAAGGTCCCTTTCCAGTAGCCGCAGGGATATTGGGATTCCTTTCAATGTTCAACAGGAGTTAGGCATCCCCATTCTTTGTCGGATTGAACTCCGGGTGCCTCTCGATGTGTCAAAAGGATATGAGGCCTCCTTTCGAGATGAGAAGGTTACCAAGGCTTTCCCTATGGCCTCCACAGGAGATTGAGACATCGATTCACCTTGTGAGATGAAAGATGAGCCTGTATTCAATCTACTGCTAGCAAACCTGGCCTTCATTCGAGTCAGGGCATCTCGGTGGATATTCAACTTCAGGCAGGAAAATCAGGTTCCCTCCCATATACGTATTTCTGAGAGAGGCCTCCTCTTGAGGTGAGTGTGGATAGTTGGCCTACCTCTTGAGTCTAAGCCAGGGAGTCAGCTCGCATCTTGAGAGGATTCGGGGTACATGGAGCATCCTTCGAGTTGCTCGTTGAACTTGGTGTTCCTCTAGTGTTGGCGCGGTGTTCTCGGGGAATCTCTGGAGTTGCCTAAATGAAATCAAACCAATGGGCATGTTTGAAGGGGAATGCAGGATGGCTCTGAAGTCAATGCAGGGGATTCGGGCCTCATCTCTGGTTGATTTCGGGTACACGGAACTATTTCGCATTCTCCGGTGACCTCAGGGTCCCTCTAGGCTTGTGACAGTGTTCTTGTGGACTGTCTCGAGATGCATCAAGCAAGTCGAGGCTCCTTGCATCTTTGATGGGGATCACGCAGTTGTTCTGCATGCAACGCAGGGGAATCCGGCGTCATCTCGCTTCCAGGGGAAGTCTCATGGTTTTTCTCGAGTGGCGGCGGGAACCTGTGTTATATTCTCGAGTTACAGCGGGGATGGACCTTAAAAATTGTGTTTGTTCAGGGACGTCAGGACCCCTATCTAGTTCCGCGTGACACCTCAGGAATCTCTTCGACGCTTGACAGGGCAAAACGGACATTTCTCGAGGTGAAGCGCGAGGCCCAGTATCCCTTTCCAGTAGCCGCAGGGATATTGGGATTCCTATCAATGTTCAAGACGAGTCAGGCTTTGTCAGCTTTTGAAGCACTGAACTCCGCTTGCCTCTGTAGGTTTCAAGGGGATGTTACGCCTCCTGTCGAGATGCAGCAGGGATCTAGGTCTTTCTCTAGGGTCTCCAGAGGGGATTCAGACATCCGTACACCTTGTGAGATGAAAGACGAGACTGCATTCAAGCCACTGCAAGGAAATACAGCCTTCTTTCGAGTGAGGGCTTCTCGGTGTATATTCCACTTGAGTTAGCAAACTCCGGGTTCCTCCCTCTTACCTATTGCTGAGAGAAGCCTCCTCTTGAGGTGCTTGTGGAAACTTGGCCTACCTCTTGAGTCTAAGCCAGGGAATCAGCTGTCATCTCGAGACGATTTGGGATACACGGAGCATTACTCGAGTTGTTGTGCTGAACTTAGTGTTCCTCGAGACTTGGGACGGTGTTCTCAGGGAATCTCTGGAGTTGCCTAAAGGATGTCAAGCCACAGGTCGTGTTTTCTGGGGAATGTGGGATGGCTCTGGAGTCAATGCAGGGAAATTGGTCCTCATCTTGAGTTGATCTGGGGTACACGGGGCTATTTCACGTTGCTGGGGTGACCTCAGGTTCCCTCTAGACTTGTGACAGTGTTCTAGGGGACTGTCTCGAGATCCATCAAACCAGTCGAGGCTCCTTACATGTTTGAAGCGGATCGCGCAATTGCTCTGCATGCAATGAGGGTAATCGGGCCTCATTTCACTTCGAGGGGGAAGTCTCATGGTTTTTCTCGAGTTGCGGCGGTAAGCTGAGTTATATTCTCGAGTTATCGCGGGGATGACCTGGCAAAACTCTCGTTTGTTCAGCGACGTCAGGACTCCTGTCTAGTAAAGAGGGACTCCTCAGGAATCTCTTCGAGGCTTGGCAGGGCAATAGGGATGCTTCTCGACGTGAGGCAGCAGACCAAGGGTCCCTGTCCGGTAGCCAAAGGATATTGGGATTCCTATCAATGTTCAAGAGGAGTCAGGCATTTGCACCTTTGGAAGCATTCATCTCCACGTGCCTCTCAAGGTGCAAAAGGGATGTGAGGCCTCCTGTCGAGATGAGTCGTGGCCCAAGGTCTTTCTCTAGGCTCTCCACAGAGGATTCAGACATCCCTTCACCTTGTGAGACGGAAGACGAGCCGTCATTCAAGCCACTGCAAGGAAATCAGGCCTTCTTTCCAGTCAGGGCATCTCGGTTTATATTCCACTTGAGGAAGCAAATTCAGAGTAATTTCCACATACCTTTTGCTCTGAGAAGCCTCTCTTGAGGTTCTTGTGGAAAGTTGCCAAACCTCTTGAGTCTACGCCAGGGAATCAGCTCTCATCTCGAGAAGTTTCGGGGTACACAGAGCATTCCTCGAGTTGCTGTGCTGAACTTGGTGTTTCTCTAGACATGGGACTGTGTTCTTGGGGAATCTCTGGCATTGCCTAAGGGCAGTGAAGCCATTGGTATTGATTCACGGGGAATACGGGATGGCTCTGGAGTTAATGCAGGGGAATTGGGCCTCATCTCGAGTTGATTTTGGGTACATGGACGTTTTTCGCGTTGCTGGTGTGACCTCATGGTTCTTCTAGACTTCTGACAGTGATCTTGGGGACTCTCTCGAGATCCATCAAGCAAGAGGATGCTCCTTACCTGTTTAATGGGGATCACGCAATTGCTATGCATGCAATGCAGGGGAATCGGGCCTCATCTCGCTTCGAGGGTGAAGTCTCATGGTTGTTCTCGAGTTGCGGCGGGAACCTGGGGTATATACTCGATGTACGGCGGGGATGGCCCTTCAGAACTCGTGTTTGTTCAGCGACGTCAGGCCTACTGCCTAGATACGAGGGACACCTCAGGAATTTCTTCGAGGCTTGGCAGGGCAAAACTGATGCTTCTCGAGGTGAGGCGGGAGACCCAAGGTCGCTTTCCAGTAGACACAGGGATATTGGGATTCCTATCAATGTTCAATAGTAGTCAGGCTTCGTCACTTTTTGAAGCATTGTACTCTGCCAGCCTCTGAATGTGTCAAATGGATGTGAGGCCTCCTGTCGAGATGAGGCGGGGAACTAGGGCTTTCTCTACGATCCCCACAGAGGATTCAGACATCCCTTCACCTTCTGAGACGAAAGACGATCCTGCATTCAAGCCACTGCAAGGGTAACTTGCCTTCTTTCAAGGCAAGACTTCGCTGTGTATATTATACTTGTGGCAGCAAACTCAGGGTCACTCCTAAATACCTATTGCTGAGAGAAGCCTCCCCTTTAGGTGCTTGAGGAAAGTTGGCATACGACTTGAGTCTAAGCCAGGGAATCAGCTCTCATCTCGAGACAATTCAGGGTACACGGTGCATTCCTCGAGTGGCTGTACTGAAGGTGGTATTTTTCTATACTTGGGACAGTGTTCTCAGGGAATCTCTGGACTTGCCTGAATTAAATCAGGAAATTGGTCTTGTTTGAATGGGAACACAGGATGGCTCTGGAGTCAATGAAGGGGAATTGGTCCTCATCTAGAGTTGATTTGGTGTACAGGGAACTATTTCGTGTTGCTGGGGTGACCTCAGGGTCCCTCTAGCCTTGTGACAGTGATGTTGGGGACTCTCTCGAGATCCACCAAGCAAGTCGAGGCTCCTTACATGTTTGATGGGGATCACACAGTTGTTCTGCAGGCAATGCAGGGGAATCCGGCCTCATCTCGCTTCCATGGGGAAGTCTCATGGTTTTTCTCGAGTTACGGCAGGAACCTGTGTTATATTCTCGAGATGCAGCAGGGATGGCCCTTCAAAAATTCTGTTTGTTCAGCAAACTCAGGACTCCTGTTTAGTTATGAGGGACACCTCAGGATTCTCATTGACGCGAGGCAGGGCAAAACGGACACTTCTCGAGGTGAAGCGCGTGGCCCAGTGTCCCTTTCCAGTAGCCGCAGGGATATTGGGATTCCTATCAATGTTCAACACGAGTCAGGCTTTGTCAGCTTTTGAAGCACTGAACTCCGCTTGCCTCTGTAGGTGTCAAGGGGATGTTAGGCCTCCTGTCGAGATGCAGCAGGGATCTACGTCTTTCTCTAGGGTCTCCAGAGGGGATTCAGACATCCGTACACCTTGTGAGATGAAAGACGAGACTGCATTCAAGCCACTGCAAGGAAATCCGGCCGTCTTTCGAGTGAGGGCTTCTCGGTTTATATTCTACTTGAGTTAGCAAACTCCGGGTTCCTCCCTCTTACCTATTGCTGAGAGAAGCCTCCTCTTGAGGTGCTTGTGGAAACTTGGCCTACCTCTTGAGTCTAAGCCAGGGAATCAGCTCTCATCTTGAGACGATTTGGGATACACGGAGCATTACTCGAGTTGTTGTGCTGAACTTAGTGTTCCTCGAGACTTGGGATGGTGTTCTCAGGGAATCTCTGGAGTTGCCTAAAGGATGTCAAGCCACAGGTCGTGTTTTCTGGGGAACGTGGGATGGCTCTGGAGTCAATGAAGGGAAATCGGGCCTCATCTTGAGTTGATCTGGGGTACACGGGGCTATTTCACATTGCTGGGGTGACCTCAGGTTCCCTGTAGATTTGTGACAGTGTTCTAGGGTACTGTCTCGAGATCCATCAAACCAGTCGAGGCTCCTTACATGTTTGATGGGGATCGCGCAATTGCTCTGCATGCAATGAGGGTAATCGGGCCTCATCTCACTTCGAGGGGGAAGTCTCATGGTTTTTCTCGAGTTGCGGCGGTAAGCTGAGTTATATCCTCGAGTTATCGCGGGGATGACCTGGCAAAACTCTCGTTTGTTCAGCGACGTCAGGACTCCTGTCTAGTAAAGAGGGACTCCTCAGGAATCTCTTCGAGGCTTGGCAGGGCAATAGAGATGTCTCTCGACGTGAGGCAGCAGACCAAGGGTCCCTGTCCGGTAGCCAAAGGATATTGGGATTCCTATCAATGTTCAAGAGGAGTCAGGCATCTGCACCTTTGGAAGCAG